GAACACACACACATTCGCACATACACAAGGACACAGACGCATACATTCGCAGACACACACACCAGATACACAAGCAGACAAACAACATACTCAGAGTCATATGTATACAAACACGCCTACACATACATACATATCAAGCACACTCGCGCGCGCAAACATACATATCATACACACCTTAATAATAAATTGATAATGCAATATAAGCGTTGCGAACGAGCTTCGTAATGTTGGCCTTGCGCTGGTTTTGACAGTGGTATCGAGAAGCCGACGGTCCAGAAAGCAATGGCAAACTATTGGACGTAAATTTGAGTTGAAAAACCACAACAGCGGGAAAAAAAATGCTGGGGTTGGTTCTGCAACGTCCTGTAAAGGATACGCAACTAACTGAATAACCTATGTGTGCCCCAGCACTGTTCCCTCGCTCCCAAGAGGCCCTCACAATATCCAGCTTGTCATACATCAGTTCATACCAAGTGGTGCAGAACCGGACAGCCTATCTGCCTGCTCATTTCACAGCACACCGGCATAACCTGGAGAAAATATCCAAAGGAGGCTAACTACCCGGGACCTTTTCACATAACTGTCTAGAGAAAAGTACTGAACTGTTGAGACTTAGCCCTAGATAAAGAAGAGATTTGCTGGCAGCAAACATCGAGCAACATCTTCTATGGGCGGTATCTCGCGGAACATTCCCGTCTCCCTACATCCTTTGTCGACCTTCGATTTTGTCGTCAACGCAGTGAAGTACTCCATAACAACTGTCTGTCAGCTGAGTAGGCCAAAATGTCCGCCCGCCACATGCAGTTATGTTATGTTATCACAATCGACGTCACTGCACATTGGACATTCCCATGCGTGCTCAGTCCTCCGATGCAGCAGCCACTCCAAAATACTTCTACTAATTGTTCCTATGAGAAGCTGGTTATATCGTCTCCTATCTCGGCCTCGAAGACGACATAGACGTGCTTCACCATGCTTTACTCCCATGTGCCGCAATCTTGTTTGTGTCAGGGTTTCCTCATTAATCACTAGTCCAGTTCGTACAGCGTTGACGATGTCTGCTCTGTCCATGCTTCTTCCCACATGCTTTAGTGCAATGCTTGCCAGTTGGTCCATTCGTTAATTTCCCTTTACGCATGGAGTAACAGCAAAGGGTCAAATGTCTGACCGTCAAAAGTCCAACTGTTTGAAAGAAAGGTTTAAATGCCTGTTACTGCTGGGACCAAACGAGAGGCTATGCCCGATGCCTGCTTTTCAAGTCAAGTCAAGTTTTCACATGAAACAACATTAGAGGTGTCTAACATGCTGACAAAGGATGTGCCCATTTGTGTGGTCGTTAAAGTCACGGACCTGCGGGCGGCTCCCTGTTGATCTCCAGAGGGTGTAGGTGTAGTTAGTGACGAGCGAGAAGTTCAACATACGGGTGTGAGGTAAGCACTCATGTGCAGAATGTGAAGATTCACCGAGAGAGCCTAGGACCAGAGCGTCGTGTATCGGCTCCACTTTATTGAAGACTCCTTGGATGGCGTGGAATGCCAATGATCTGTCCCTGCCTTTTTTCAAGGGCAGACCAGTTTAGTTCGACGTTAGTCTCCCCGAATAGGGTAGGTCACATTTCATTCACAAATTTGTTGGGCTGGTCGACTTTCCAGAAGGTTACGGGTATGTTCCGCTCTAGTGTTTGGTTTCTTTGGTTTTCATTCCTAGAAAATGAATACACGTGACACAGGTTGCGGCGTCCGTGGCTAAGGCGTTGCGAGTCTGACTCGTAATCCAACGTACCGCGATCGAAACCCACTGCGAGCTGCGTGGATTTTTATCGTGGTATGGGACGTCGCAGGTCAACCCAGCCTCAAATGGGTACCAGGATGGGCTGTCCTGGGAAATTAAAGACGGCCGCGTAATGCTGACCACATTACCCACCGAGTGCCGATTGGTCTGTAAAAATAAGGATGCTCTTCCCATATGCCCGATGCGCCTAAGGGCGTGTAAAGGGATCTTTACTTTACTTTACTTCAGTGACATAGGTTGCAGTACTCTCTAGGGAGTTGTATTAGACCCTGTTTCTCCGATTTTTTGAGTAATAAAAGCGCTGGCGTGCTGAAATATACAACACGCTATATCAACGGCATTGCGGAACACCCCCCGTATCGGTGTGGGAAGGTCACGGGTCTAAGGAACTACCACTCAGAAGTGAGCTGGTGTGTATGTGGGTCTGGTGAGAATAACGTCGAACTAGCCCATTATCTGTGATCAGATTTTTAACCAAAACAATTATGCGGTACAGATACAATTTCTAGTCTGCCTTCTTGTAATTCCATCTTGGAAGGATGCTGATCTCTCTTACAGACTAGTTTTCTACTGTTAGAAAGACTGACCGGTGGTCACTGCCTCCTAGTTGTTTCCCAACAATTCTAATAATATTCATTTCAAAGAAAAAGTCAGGTCCGGTGTAGAGGTGGTATGTCCTGAGAGGGGGAGAGAGAGAGCAAGAGAGAGAGAGAGAGAGAGAGAGAGAGAGAGAGAGAGAGAGAGAGAGAGAGAGAGAGAGAGAGAGAGAGAGCACGAGAGAGAGACTGTCCTTGACATTCTCTTGAAGGAAGTTTTCGCCAGGGACACAGATGAGTATCATTTATTGTGTACACTAGAGTCACATGTAGTCACTTCATAGTTAGAGCATATTTGTGTATGTGTACTGTTTTGTTCTTTATGCGCTGATGAAGGCTAATCGCCGCAACGTCCTTTGTTTGTTTATTGTGATCGATTTTGTAAAACTAACACAAACTGTTTTTTTTTTCTTACCAACCTTTTCTCTCCCTATAATTTCCTAACTCTTAAAAAACTATGCTCTAGAGTAGAAGGTTGTTGGGTCAGTTGGCTTATTACTGAGGAGAAATCTATCATCATCCTGCAAGTCGTTCAGTTTATCTTCTCTCTTATTCATGTGATCGTAGTCCCAGCTTTGGGAGAAGCTATTGAAATCTCTACATATGATTATTCTTTCATTTTTTTTTTAAAATATCCAGGGTCTGAGGTCGGTCGCTCGGACAGTAAATGTTGCTTAGATGTAAATCTGTATTATCTGTCTTGAGCCTAAGAGCTTGATACACAGCATCTTGTATGTGTGTTTCAATTTGGCATGCAAGAATTTTTGTGTGATCAGAGTTAGTATTTCACCTTTTTTCCTGTCTTTTCCGTCAGATCAATAACACTGGTAGCCCCTGATCTCGAAGGTTATGTCTTGGAGGCAACATATGAGTATCTACTCCTCGTTGAAGTTGTTTTCTAGTTCTATTTTTTCTTTAGTATATACTCCCACCGGTATTCCAGTGTAATCTTTTTAAAAAAAAAAAAAAAAAGAAAAGATTTGCTCTATTTTCTCTTCCCCGGGTTCTACGAAACATTCGATGGTGACTTCCAGTATTTGTGGTTGGGGCTGAGACCGTTTCTACTAGATTTATTCCAGTAAGACATCCAATGTGTTCACGAGTCTGTCACATGGTGTGTTTGCCACTTGCTTGCAGGCATATAAGTATACCCTATTGCGTTTGTGCATGGAATCCTGATGATGTAGTGTGCCTTCTAGCTGGTTGTCGCCAACTTCAGGGCCTTATTTTACTAGGGTAGACTGTAGTCTTATCTGTCGACTCCCATATTTCATACGAGAGCGTAACTAGTTCGGCTACATTACCGTTTCGACATGGTAGCCACCGCCGCAGTTTGACAGGATAAATTCAATCCTTTTATAACACTCTAAACCACAGAATACACAGTTTCCACAAATAAAAAAAAAATATCCATCACATACGATTTTGTAATAAATACACTTTATAATCGAAATAAACAAAACATCACCGATAAAGTGTGAATTGTAATAAAAACATCGTGTAAGGCCGCAAAACTGCGCTAAAGAATGAAATGGACATATAGAGAGTTGAGTTTAATTGAATTGAGTTTAGTTGAGTCAAGATGGCAAAGAGGAAAAAACTGTACACAATGAGCTGAATGACCTACACAATGAATTGAATGCCTGGAGGGCACAATGCCCCTAAAAAAAGAAGACAACGAAGAGGTAATATCCAGACACACCTGCAACCGATTGGAGTCACCAACTGGAACAAGAGAGGGCCACTGGTAGAGATGATAGACGCCGGTTATATCTGAAGCAATAAACCCCAGGCGTTCTGAATGCTGAAAAAAGAAAGAAGAGAAGCAGAAGATGCACAAATCTCTCACGATGTTTCCAAGACTGTCCTCTTATCAGCCTGAAGTTCGTAACTATATGCAGAGCTTCACGAAGGAGATATAGCTTGTATGCGGCTACTCGGAGGTATGGCCTCGCTTGTATCATCTTGAACCTGTCTGCTATAGTCAGCAGTGCAAGGATGTATAAACTATATAGCATGCAGACTACCGAGATTTCCCTCGTAGTTGTACATTAATCGCGTGTGCAACTGCTGATCTGTTGGTGACTTCTACTACCATTCATGATGATCTGCATTTCTAATGTCGGACTGTTTGTGTTAGCACTTCTGATGGCTACCGTGTGCTTTTAATGCGTGTGTATATGCTAGTGCATATACTGACACAGCAGTTTGTCAATCTTTCCACAAGTGACTGTGATAAAGATTATGTATGTTTTTTCGTTAGCACAGGAGCGGAGCAACTATGGGGTGACCCGTTTACTATAAAGCTGAAACTAAGACTACCAGATTACCAGTTGTACATTGCAGAATTCCATGGCTTCATTCTGCATGTTTTAAAGCTTCACCAGCTGACTGATACGGAAAGCTGTATATGCTAGTATTATTGTCTCTAGTTCGGATGTTAAGAAAATGCATAATAATATAACTTATTAATTATATTATATTTCAGCTATGCTATTAATATATATTTACAAACACTGCCTGTTATAATGCGAGTAAATACGATCACGAGCGAGTAAGATAGTGCGGGAAGTCTGCCTCCGCAGCAGACGTCGGTGTTTTCAGTTTTCAGCCATGTCTCTCTTCACAAATGATCTCGACGACTTGAATGAGGACAGTTTAAACTTGGATAATACAGAGGAGCGTTGGACGGAACCCTTAAATCCAGGAACGAATTCTACACTGATTTGTTCAGACTTCATAAGTAAGTGAAAAAAAAGGGCCGTAAACAAATAACGCAAACAAACAGCTGACTTTAAACACTAGACTAGACTAGTAGACACATTATCAGGCTCTACTTTCAAATTTGGCCGGTAAGCTGGAATGCTTCGGCCGGCTTAGTGGGAGTTATGTCCCTTCGCCAAACTCAAAACAACTCAAAACAAGTCGCGGAAAAAGTCACGAATCAAATGACATACTTACTTATCACCATCCGGGTGCGTGTAGGGTTGCGTAGGGTGTCTATCATCGTCCTACGGTTGCGTGTAGGGCTGCTTATTGCGTGTAGGTTGGTTGTTTGCATAAGATGAGGGGTGGGGTTAGGGTTTGGGGTAAGGGTATAGGGTTTAGGGTTAGGGGTATGGTTTGATTTGAAAATTTTAACGTAGGAGGTCGAAATAGTGGCCGACAATCTGACGTTTGTGGGAGTGGCGCCACTGAAACTCTGCCAAATATGATGCCGTAGTTACCTATAATCGCGCACAGTTGTATGCACGCGCAAACAGTTGACGAACGGTGGATGCTACTGACACGGACAATTCGCCAGCGACTGGGCACCAGCCGCCCGCTATTGGCGTCATATTTGACAGAGTTTCAGTGGCGCCACTCCCACAAACGTCAGATTGTCGGCCACTATTTTGACCTCCTACGTGAAAATTTTGAAATCGAACCATACCCATAAACCCTAAACCCTAACCCTAAACCCTAACCCTAAACTCTAACCCTAAACCCTAACCCTAAACCCTAACCCTAAACCCTAACCCTAAACCCTAACCCTAAACCCTAACCCTAAACCCTAACCCTAAACCCTAACCATAAACCCGAAACCCTAACCCTAAACCCTAGACCAACCTACAATAAGCAGCCCTACACGCACCCGTAGGACGATGATAGACACCCTACGCAACCCTACACTCAACCGGATGATGATAGGTAAGTATGCCATTTGATTCGTGACTTTTTCCGCGACTTGTTTTGAGTTGTTTTGAGTGCGGCCACGGGACATAACTCCCACTAAGCCCCGCTAAGCCGGCCGAAGCAGTCCAGCTTACCGGCCAAATTTGAAAGTAGAGCCCATTATCATTACTATCATATAATTCATATACCGTTTGAATAATTTATAGTAAAAGACAGTTACCATATAGTTACATCTTCTTCTTCTTCTTTCGTTTGCTTGAAATAGGTAGTAATGGCACCTTTTTAGAGGCTGGAGGGTAGTAGTAGTACAGCTGAGCATGTAATTATAATATAATGGATTAGCAGATTATTATACTTTGGAAAATCAGCTCTCCTCCGAACTTCTACCCCCGCAGTATTGCGGCCTGAAATATCCGTTGCGGGTGCAGTCCAATTAAAAATAGGACGGCTCCGTATAACGAAACAAATGCTCTAACAGGGTCTCAGCGATATGTTACTTGCGGACCTGTTTCTTATTGTTTCTGATTACCTGACAATTTTAAGCGACGCAACACTGCAGACGATAATAATAGCAACCGTTGACACTTTCCATTGTCGAACTTTCTGCCGACGAACAAATCGCGGCAAATCTAGGATCGGCTCGGAAAAACGAAACAAATGCACTAACAGGGTTTAAGCGATATGTTACTTGCAGACCTGTTTCTGTGACTATGCCTCACCGCCGACAGTATAGGGGATAGGGGCTAAACTAGATGGCTGGGACTCACAAGCGACAGCTACCGCATCTCCTGCAACTTCCTCCAATTACTTTGCTTGTGAGTCCCAGGCACCTAGTTTAGCACCCCCCCTCATCTGTGCCGCGCATAGCGGCGCGTGGGATTTGGCGTTGAGTTTAATCGCGTTTTTGCGCATTCCGACAAGTCTGACATCTACCGCTGCTAAATCTTTAATCGGAAGAACAGTATTGCTAATCTGCGTGGGAGCGCGTGGTCTACTCGCCAAATCGCTTTCATCGTCTGTAATGTCTCGAAATTGTCAATGGTCGCTTTTATCGTCTGCTAGTATCGTCTGCAGAAAACGCTCGACTTTGCACCGGTCGCTTTTATCGTCTGCTACTATCGTCTGAAATGTTGCGTCTCGTGACATTGTAAGGTACTCCTAGTTTTGCAGCAATTTGTTCCTCGGCGGGAACTCCGACAAGTCTGTATTTTTAATTGGACTGCGCCCCGAACGGATGTTTCAGGCCGCAATACTGCGGATTTAGAAGTTCGGAGGAGAGCCATCTGTTTATATATGTAGAGTAGATAAGATTCTGGAGCATGTAATGGGTATTAATGCAAGTACAGATGGATGTGCAGTTCAAGGAGCAGGTTGCTTTCCCTGTTCTGAGTGGCAAATTACTTTAGCATAAGGCAGACACAGCGGATAGTTTTGTGAAAAACAGAGTATCCGTAACTGGCAGCGCTGATTTGGCAAGAAGAGTGAAGAAGTCCTGGATGACACTCAGCTCACTGGAAAATAAGTAGGCATGCTTTTTAATCAGGTTGCACTGTCTGCAAGAGACTTGGACCTAACAAACTCTAGACTAACACTCATGCTCATGTAATTGTTAAAAAGTTATAAACTGAGGTTAAAGATGAAGATCTGGTAATCTGGTAATTTTAATTTCAGCTTCATAGCAAACGGGTCATCCCATCTTTGCTCCGCCCCTGTGCCAACGAAAAACACACAGAATGTTTATCACAGTCCCTTGTGAAAAGACAAACTACTGTGTCAGCAAATCTAGCATACACTCGCATTAAAAGCATATGGTAGCCATCCGAAGTGCTAACACAAACAGTCTGACGTTAGAAATGCAGTTCATCATTGATGGTAGCAAAAGTCACCAAAAGATCAGCAGTTGCACACGCGATCAATTTTAATCAAATAATGGCCCCACCAATATTGCGACAACCGGCATCGCGCCATTTTCTGAATCTACAAATCACACCACCACGTTGGTCAGTCGAAAAACATTCCAAATGAAATCTGCAGCTCACAGTGTCACGCCATGCACTCAACTCAGAAGCTGGGTAACGAAACTATATACTTATAGTCCACAAATTGAGCAAAAAAGCAACGGCCACAGTCTGGCAGAAGCAAAACAGTGGCGGTGCCTAGTGTTCATTTGGAGCTGAAGCATTATGTGAGGGTTAATAAACTGTCACCCCAGCAGTACCCTACTATTAGCTGGGGAAGGGATTTAGGACATTACATCCACCAGCAAGCGTCGCCCCAACAACGATCTGACTGCCTTCGTTAATGACTGTTCACCCAACAGCCATGCAGTTCTTTGGCACGAAGGAGACACCTTGAACTTGGGTTTGGACTGCCGACTCTCTATACGAAGATATATGTGTGCTACTGGTGTCCCGTAGCCAAAATACTATCTCACTGTATTACTAAAATTCAGCACGCATGCTCAAACGCGCAGTAGTTTAAAAAAAAAAACATACACACACACACATATACATACACTCATTACCTGCCACCCGCTTGCTTGCTACATGACTACATATTTATATAAGAATATATATATATATCTATATCGGGAGAGGGAGAGAGTGCGACAAGGGAAGAATCATGCAGAATGACCACACATATGTAAGACACTAACACAGGAAATTCCCTATGCACACAAGGTCAGCATGACTGGCTCCAAGAAGTGGACAGCAAATTCAAATGGCTCAGTCAGATCAGACACAGTCCCTGCTGTGACAGAAAGTTGGCTGTAATAAAGGACTGCCGTAGAAAGGTGCACCCAAGGGACGGTTTCAGAAAGAGATGCATACTTTGTGGTAGAGTAACATTGCTTGAAAAATGTATTCTGCAAGCCACCAGGGGTTGCATTCACATTTTCTAGGTTCTAACAATAGTAATACACTAACCGCTCAGCCAATACATACATAAATCGGCGTAGACAGAAAGAGAGAGAGAGAGAGAGAGAGAGAGAGAGAGAGAGAGAGAGAGAGAGAGAGAGAGAGAGAGAGAGAGAGAGAGAGAGAGAGAGAGAGAGAGAGAGAGAGGGGGGGGGAGGAATCACCGCGTAGCTAATTACAGCAAATGTATAGCGTTCATTGAGTCTTCTGTTTCGATATCCAAACGTGCTTGTTGTCAACCATACAGTTTTTGCTTGCAGATGAAGATATCATGCCTGTTTATGATCTTTAGATAATGGCCAATATGTTTGCCTTGTGTTTCAGACAAGCCTGCTGTGTCAAAGACTGGACACAATCGAACCATAATCCACTTTGATATTGATTGTTTCTATGCACAAGTTGAGATGTTGCGAAATCCAGGGCTCCAAAATAAACCTCTAGGTAAGTATAGCAAACTCATTTAATGTATTTAGCAAATTAGCTTCTCGTAACGCAACAGCTCAAGTCAAGGTAGAAATAATCCCATTGCAGATTTGGATTAGCATTGTTAAGTCAATCAGTCAAGCAGGTGCTATCTCCACAGTGAAGGTTGCCTGCCATGAATCTACAACACTCTTTATATCTTGTCTTGGTAGTACACACTCTTAGGCTGCTGTTTGTCCATCTGTTGATGTTGTCATCCCACTTTTATCATTGTCTTCAATTTTTCCCTCCACTATGGTTTTGAAAGTGTCATTTTTTAAAAATGTGGCCAGAATATTTCGTCTCTTTTTTCTTTTTAAAAACATTTTTTTTTAAAAACTCTCTTTTTATTTGCAGTCTTTCCCCGTGTGGGTTTCACGGCTCCATTTTAGAGAACAATGAATAGACTCACTGACAAGCTTGACATAAGAATCGACTAATTATGTGTATTTCATTTGAGGTTGAAGTGCATCGGCCTAAGAGGCAAGGAACCAACAGTCTGCTTACAAATGAGCTGGGTCTGTAAAACGGATGTGCTACGTGCAAAACTCAAATTCTGGAACAAGAGAAAAGTCCAGAAGTGGATCAACAACCAGAACTTTCTGCTGGAGTTTACAGTTGGTGAATACGAAGAAGAAGATTCTTAGTCTTTCCAGAATCTGTGTATTGTAAAATAATAGCATTTAAAGTATGCTATGCCACTATATTAGGAAATGCGTGCTCTGTTTCCTTCATAACTTTCTTCTCTGTCCAGACAAGAGAGGTGTAATGACAATTAGAACTACCGAACTACTACAGCATTTCCAGATTCTGGTGAAGGAAATGGAGCACTTAAGGCTGGGTTTTGAGCCTCATGATGTTCTCTCTAACTAACCAATTAGTCAGCTGTTCCCAGCCAGGTCAATCACACAGATGAACAGTCAGTCACAGAAGTCACGCCATTTTGAAACATCCTACTCCACTCCTACACATGTTGGACTGACAGGCTCGTTTTTCTGTACTGGACCCTCATTTACCCCTTAACAGATCAGAAAATACCCCCGTGTGGGTTCCGGGGCCTCATTGTGGGGAAAACAAGAATAGACCCACTGCCTCCCCAAAAGCATGTCGTAAGAGTCGACTAATTGGGGAGCTTCCTTTGAAGTCGGAGTGCATTTGCCGGAGAGGCAAGGAACCAACAGTCTGTATTCAAGAGAATGAGATCTGTAAAACTGATGCACACGCAACACTCAGGTTCTGGAGCAGGACTGCAGTTCAGTAGTGGACGAGCAACCAGAACCTTCCGCCAGAGTTTACAGCTGGTGAACGCGAAGAAGAAGAAGAAGAAGATCAGAAAATGGATAACAGAACGCTGTTTCTCTTTTGTGCATGTCAAAAGAGTGAAGGCCATCTTTAAACTGTCATTGTGCTGTATCTGTGTTTGTATGCACTGCGATGTCACATGCTTAACACTCTTGACATCCTTAACAACAATATTGACAGGTTACAAGACAGTGCTAGGGTAATTGTAATTTCTGTCACACTTTTCATTTGAAACCCCTTTGCTTCAAACCCTCCATATGCAGTTAGTTAATATATGATGTTTAAATAATGCGGATACAAACAATACATTGTACAATTTATTGCCAGGCATATTTCGCTGTATCTCATCAAATGCGTTACTACAGAGTTACATCAACATAAAATAAAGCACAAAACTTGATAAATTCAACTGAAATGCGAACAGTTTCTTTAAAACATTGTCACTGCTCCATGGCCGCCGGAAGCTCACCGTAGTCACTGACAACCAGGGTAACTTCAAATGTATGACAAATTCCATCTGCTTACAAAGGAGGGGGTTGTTGATTTTTATTGTTATGGCTTCTGCGATTTTCAAAAGTCTCCTGTTCAGAGTATGGTAAACAATGTATCGAAGAAACTGTTCGCATTTCAGTTGAATTTATTCAGTTTTGTGCTTTATTTTATGTTGATGTAACTCGTAGTAACGCACCTGATGAGATACAGCGAAATATGCCTGGCAATAAATTGTGCAATGTACTGTTTGTATCGGCATTATTTAAATTCATTACGGGTAAACATTGTTTTAATATATGATGTGTTTGTTGGTTTTTATTTAAAAAAAATTGCCACCAATGTTTCAGGCATACAGCAAAAGAATATTGTGGTCACAACAAACTACATTGCCAGAAAGTGTGGTGTCCCAAAGTCCACTTTTGTTAGTGATGCCAAGAAAATATGTCCGAATTTGGTACTCGTATGTGGAGAAGACCTTACTAACTATCGCCAGATGTCATATACAATTTCAGGTGAGTCATTTGTAGTTTATTTTATGTATTCTGATTCTTGTTCTTCATTTTTGTCTTTTCATCGTCTCCTGTCATATGCCTGAGGAAAATGTTGAACATAAAGGGGAATGACTTCAAGAGGAGTGAAAAATAAAAAATGTCTAGGCAGCCACTGGGAACAGCAGTTATAAGACAAAGACATGAAACTAAGATGAAGACATGACACTAAGACATGATACTAAGATGAAGACATGACACTAAGACATGACACTAAGATGAAGACATGACACTAAGACATGACACTAAGACATGACACTAAGATGAAGACATGACACTAAGATGAAGACATGACACTAAGATGAAGACATGACACTAAGTCATGACACTAAGATGAAGACATGACACTAAGATGAAGACATGACACTAAGATGAAGACATGACACTAAGATGAAGACATGACACTAAGATGAAGACATGACACTAAGTCATGACACTAAGATGAAGACATGACACTAAGACATGACACTAAGATGAAGACATAACACTAAGATGAAGACATGACACTAAGACATGACACTAAGATGAAGACATGACACTAAGACATGACACTAAGATGAAGACATGACACTAAGACATGACACTAAGATGAAGACATGACACTAAGATGAAGACATGACACTAAGACATGACACTAAGGTGAAGACATGACACTAAGACATAACACTAAGATGAAGACATGACACTAAGACATGACACTAAGGTGAAGACATGATACTAAGATGAAGACATGACACTTAGATGAAGACACGACACTAAGATGAAGACATACCACTAAGATAAAGACATGACACTAAGATGAAGACATAACACTAAGATAAAAACATGACACTAACATGAAGACTTGACACGAAAACATGACACTTAGATGAAGACATGACACTAAGATGAAGACATGACACTATATTGGACACCTCCTGAGAAGAAACAATCAGAGAATCACCAAATAAACACTACATTTGGAACTAAAAGGTTTAAGGAAGCAAGGATACCCAAACAAACAAACAAACACCCTTAAATAAACATTGATGAGAGGTGAAAAGTGCTTGACTGTGTTCCTCCATCCATGATATCGAATTGACTGCACAAGATAAAACAGAATGGAGGAATACACTGCTAGTTATATGTGACATAATAGCACAACAGGAGAATGATGATGATCATCCTCTACACATTCTTATATTCCTCCTCCTTTGTCTTATTCTTCCTTCTTTGCATTATTTCTGATCTCCTTTGGCTTTTTTCTTTCTTTTAATGGAGGATATGCCATCAACTAGCTGATCCCATCGCAAAGTGGACCTGCTCATGATTGCAAGGATTGTGCAGTAGTTTTGTAGTACAGCATTTCTTTTTCTTTGCATTCACCAGCTGTAAACTGCGGCCGAAAGTTCTGGTCATTCATCCTCTTCTAGAATTTAGTCCTGTTCCAGAACTTGAGTTTTGCCTGCACATCCATTTTATAGATCTGGTTTATTTGTATGCAGATGTTGATTCCTTTCCTTGCAGGCAGAGATGCACTCCGACTTTGAAGGCCCCCCCCTCCCCCCATATATTGGTTGCCTTTTGTAACAATCTTGTTAGGGAAGCAGTGGTTCTATTCTCCCCCCCCCCCCCCCCCCCCCAGAAAAAAAAATTGGGCCCTGGAACAAAGGGGGGGGGGGGGTAATTTAGGCTGCCAAAGCTAAGGAATTTGTGCTTTGTGCAACACTCTTGGCAAGCAGTTAGCCATTCTGTGGAGAGAGACTGAGTCATACTGGATAAAACACCTAGACTTTAACCTTTCACTTTTTAACTTTATAATGCAATGTTTACTTATAAGAGTATATTCTAACTTTTGCTTTGTGAAGTAATCATAAATGTAAAGAACATTATAATTTATGTGACATTTGTAACCAATATTGAAATGTGACATCTTCAACAGAGTTTTTCCAGAAGTACACTCCTTGTGTTGAGCGTCTGGGTTTTGATGAAAATTTCATTGATGCTAGTGAGCTGGTGCAGATGAGGCTGCAGAATGGTACATATAAGCAGGAATTTGTTGGCCATGTCTACCATGGAAATCAAGGTAGCTTGCTAGCAGTCTTCTTCTTCTTCTTTGATCCTTCTGTCAGAAAATTTATACCAGGAGGCCGGTAGCCTTGATCAAAGCTATCGTGCAATCCATGTCTTCCCATGTACCATACAGTAAAAGTAAAAAGTAAAGCAAGGTAAAGGACCCTTTTCCACACCTTTAGGCGTATAGGGCATATAAGGCTAGACCTATATTTTCATAGACCAATCGACACAAGATGGGTGATGTGGTTAGCATCCATGCTGGGCGCCTTTACTTCCCGGGACTGCATCCGGTACCCACTCAAGGCTGGGTCAACCTGGGAGCCAAGGTCATTTTTAAAAATAGTCGGCTCCGCCAGGGAGCGAACCCACAACCTTCTGATTCGCGGCGAGTGTCTAGCCGCTCGGCCACAGCGACTCTCCATGTACCTACCATACAGCTTTGTCTTAATTGAGGTTGGAACAGGCTAGTTAACAGTTATTACAGTAAAACCTTGTTAACACAAACTTTAGAACAACACTAAGGTAACACCTCAGCAGGGGTGTATTAATAATATTATTAGTGAGCATAATCAAAAAAAAAAAAAAAAACAGCTGAGCTACTGTGCGTTGATGCACCATCAATCTCAGGTGTTGGAGATCTGGGTCTATTACCCTCTCTCTGCGCCTGAAGTTCCAATTCTCTTAATCTTACTTCCTGTTCCAATCTCATTCTCTCTGACTCCCTCTCAGACTCTAGTCGGAGTCGTTCGGTTTCTTGAATCCTCTCAGATTCAATCCGGAGTCGTTTGGTTTCCTTCTCTGTCTCAATCCTGAGTCTCTCTGCCTCACGGGCTTCCATCCTCATCTCACGTTCCGTGGTTTTGATCCACTCGGTCATTTACTTACCCTCTAATCCCATCTGGACAGCCATGTCCTTCAATTCCTGTATAGAAATTTTTGACTGCGACATGCTGTATTGTCAATCTAACAGTCCACAAACAAATTATATTGTCACTAACAATTTAAAAATAATCAAAATAGATTAATTTATCACCACCCACCAAGGTTGTATCTAACCTAATATACTGGAAACACTACAAAACACCACAACTTGATCACAAATCACTCCTAAGAGTACATTCTAAGAACTGACCCAGAGTGGTCACAACTGTGTTAACAACAAAATACAAACACTGAACAACCTCCTGACCAAGATCACCAGCAACTTTAAAGATTGACCAGAGAATACAAACAATCCCACGACGAGACCACAGATTTTTGAAGATATGTGTCCTGTTACATATCACTCTTGTCACGTGCCTGATTTAAGGATTTCTCCTTAAGAACCAACAGCACTCAGAAATAATTATGTTGAGTCGTTGGCTCGTATTGGTCTAAGGGATGCCCCGTGGCCAATATACGCTCAACTTATTTCTGGAGTGGGGCTGCACAAGTTTTGGCACTACAAAATATATATATATATATAAATATAATATTCCTAGGCACACTTGGCTGGATGCCCCCACTACTATAAAAAGATAGCCCCCAGGTTATGATAGTCTACTATCATAACCATGTTAACACAGATGAAAATATTTAATTGAACATACATGTACTTTAGACAGCTAAGAACCCTGAATGAGTGACACTCCAGTTAATAGTGAAACTTCAGAAATACTGTAATCATTGTAACACATACATTATATAAGAATCAGCGAAGAACTTAAAGAACACAGAGTGATATGAAGGACCAAACTTCAACTCGATCTTGAATTGACTGAACGTGTATGAATGTTCCAAAGTCTGCCTTTCTCATCCCTATGATCAGTATGAACATTTAATAGTGAAGCCTGGCAATAAACCCATGAGTGTCCGCACTTATCTTAATACTTGGTTTCTTGAACTGGCTGAATGTTCAGTCACTCTGTTGTTATGTTCAAGACAGTCCCACACTAGATACTCGAACACTGGAGATACACCCAGGCTCCTGAAGAGGATCTCAGGTACCAAGTCAAACACTTGAGGCACAAACAAACTGCCGGATAAATGATGGTGAAGGTACAACACCCATACTGTTGTCTGTAGACCAACTGGAGGATTTCATTAGTTGATGACCACAATGAGGTTCACCATCTGCTGCCCACCACTGGCTTAGACATAGGTGACTTCCTTATAGGTGGTTTTGTGGACTGCTGATTCACGCCTGGCTTTCAAGGAGATATCATCCTGTATCAAGAAGGAACTCAGAATTAGCAGTCATCTCAGGTGTTACATGTCAAGCTCAGTTTATTAACATCCACATTAGTAATCATTCAGAGGACAGCTCTGAGGATAATGAGACAGTATAAGTCTCTACATATCATCTCTATTGTTCAGTCAGTAACAGTGACAGGAGATGAGTGCCAGAGTGGAGACAGATAAGACTATAAACAGAGAACATCAACTCTCCTCGCCCACCCGCACTTGTAGACACACATCCCATCTCTCTTTTATATATATTTTTCATACCATCCCCCGTCTGTTTACCGTACACACTTTGTTGTGCTACAATTAACCTTTGACCCAGAGCGCCAAGCTTGCTTGTGTCACAGTAACAAGCCGGCCAAAGATGACCCAGTTTACCTGTGTCTATTAGTCAATACAAATCCTACGTTTGGTTATAGAATAATTACTTGTAGGGTTTAATATCTTTACAAAGGGTGTGGGTTATTTAGAGCACAAACTATTTAGTCTGTACAGGGGAAGGTCTAAGGTTCGGATCCGGATCTCTGGACATCAAGAACGGTCGAACTCTGTGCGATCACATAGCTGATACTCCTCTATATACAGCAGTGACCAACTTTAAAAAGACATCATTTAGGGTACTCGTAAACTATAATTAACTTACCCAAGCTTAGGAAATGTCCTAGACACCAAAGGCCGCCTCCTCAAAGCATAAATGTACGAGGCCCCGATGAACACATCTGTTCTTCTAGGCAGTCAGGCAGAAAAATGCCCGCTTCAAACTACGCTTAGCATCACTAGAAAAGAAGTCCCCTTGTATTCCTGCCCAAGGAGTAAACCGGTTGACAGGAATTTCTAATTAAAATATCAGAATTCGCCACCCTATAGTTGCAAGTTTGAAAATGAAGATTTATCAAAGCAAATAGAGGGTCTAGAAATGAATATGCTACCAGATAAAGGTATAGATCAATATAAGGGACTATATACCTTTCCAGACAGGTCTAAGTTTGAAATTTCGCTGAGCGCGAGGGATATCAGGTCCCGACTCGTCCACTGTGTGTGGTGGCTGTTCAACCCATGACAATGATAAAGAAAAAAAAGCGGTTTCTGCTATATATCTTTACCTTTACTTTCCTAACTAATGATTAATTGCAAAAGTCATTCAACTCCTCAGGTCCTGACAGATCACATTGCAGATGTGGCTGTGAGCTGAGGCTACAGATTGGTTCTCAGATTGCTGCTGAAATCAGGGAGGCCTTACACAAGGAGATAGGCATCACATCATGTGCTGGGATTGGCCATAATAAACTGCTAGCCAAAGTGATCGCTGGAACTCATAAACCCAATCAGCAGACAACAGTTCTGCCTCACTTAGCTCTGGATTTGCTGTCTTCTTTTTCGTCTGTACTTTGTATTCCTGGTAAGTAGTCGGTCTTTGAGGTTAGTGAATATGTTTAACAATTTTATGATACTCGTGTACTAGTGTTTGATTTCATTGGTGGGCGGTTTATCTAATAAGATCATTCTCATGGTTTTCGGATAGTGGTTTGAGAGTTGCATTGTGGAAGAGACTGGGGCCTCACCACTAATTTTCCCAAAGGCAGCAGTAAAACACTAAAGCCAAATTTGTGTTAGAGATGGGACATATTATTTCTTAAAAATTCAACGAACTTAGTAACTGTAAGTGAACAGTTAGAGATAGCTACCTACAATAGAATATTTCTAACATATGAATATCTGGTCTGAATGTGAAAGGAGAGGGTAAATTTACCCCAAAGAATAGTTTGTGCAATTTTTTTCATTAGTGTATTCATATCCTGCGCTTCTAAACCTTTGCACTGGTGCGAAAACAGCCAGTAGCATCAAGTGTGTATTTCGTGAACAAGTCACTATAGACAAGTCGAAAAGGTTACATTTACGGAAAATTGGACCCAACCTGAAGTGTTTGTCTTGCAGCTTCTCGGGTCAAAAGGATTAAGGTACACATGATAGACATGGCTAATAACACCTTATGGCATGAACAGATTATCCTCATTGCACATATGACAGGTCCATAAGTGCTCGGATCCCACCTTAAGTATTTTCCTCAGCATGAGACAACTGAAAACACAAGTTTTGTGTTGTTTTATAATCTTTCTTTGGCTGCATGTGTAGTGTTTATGTCTGGCAATACCTCTTTTGACTTGAAGTTCTTGTAGTCGTTTGAATGTTGTCAACTTGGCATCATCTCCTCAATCAGTTACTTGTCCTACCTCCTTGAGAGTATTGAGAACATCAACCCAGTCAATTGCTTGTCCTGTAGCTACTGTGATCCTGCCAGAAACCCAATCTGCTCGTTCCTTTCCTCAAAGAAGATGCCCCTGATTATTTGAATTTTTGTTGTGGGGGGGGGGGGGGGGGGGCTCTTCGGGATCCCGAAACCACACAGGGACAAGTTGATGTAAATAATAATGACGGCAGTTAAGCTGGTATCAAAGCTCAAAGAAAAGGGGACGCACAAAATAAATAAACATGTCCACTAAAGGAGTACTAAATGCAACATTAACTATGGCTAAAAAAAGTCAACAAACAAGACAACAGAGCTTATAAAAAGCCAAGGTCAACATAAACCTCCGTAACAAGCATGGTGTAAAAAGTGATTAATTCGGGATCTTTTCTCTGAAGTCGTAGCGCATCTGGCTGTGATGTGAGGAACCAACAGTCTGCATGCAAGGAGGTGTTATCTGTAAAACAGATGTGCGCACAAAATTAAATTTCTGGAACAAGACTTAACTCCAGAAGTGGACGAATAACCAGATCTTTCTGTACAGCCGGTGAATGCCAAGAAAAAAAGAAAAAGAAAGGCAAAAGGAGCTATGAGGTGACTGTACCATTACCTTCAAAATCTGTATTATCTTGTTTCCAAACTGTAGGTATTGGGTACAGAACAAGCCACAGACTGAATGCACTGGGTATCTCATCAGTTGCAGACTTGCAGGCGGCTGACAGAAGAGTATTGGTGAGGGAGTTTGGACCACAGATGGCACAGCTGATGGATCAGCTCAGCCATGGGGTTGATGACTCTCCAGTTGTAGCATACAGCCAACCACAGGTACGTTCTCACAGTCTTGGGCAGTGAATTCACAGCTATTGATCAGTACTCACGAGGAAAGGAAATAAGTAGATATCAGTGGATAATGTCAGTTCGTCATCTACATATGGTCTCTTCCTCTTTGTAATTGTCTATCTGGTTACCTCTTTATAGGCATCACTGTTCTCTTGTACACAGATAATTTTGATGTTAACCAGCTGTGAACTCTGATGGAAAGATCTGGTTGTTTCGTCCACTTCTGGACTTTGGTATGGTTTCAGAATTTGAGTTTATCATGCATATCCATTTTATATATCTGGCTTATTTTACATTCCGTAGTTTGTCATTGATAGCTAAACAGTCAGCACTCTATACTTGTGCCAGTATCACGGCAAATCGATCTGCTACCAAATCTTATACAGCTGACTCAGACAAGATATTTCAGAATTACAAATTGTATTCATAAACTCTAAGCCATGGATGCTGAAAGAGATAGAGAGAGAGAAGAGAGAGAGAGAGAGAGAGAGAGAGAGAGAGAGATAGATAGAGAGAGAGAGAGAGACCTTTAACACATGGAGACAATAATTAGTCAGAGACCATGCAAATGAGATGTCTGAAAAGGGCTCCAGGAATGACCAGAAGAGATAAAGTCAGAAATGAGGTCATAAGAGAAAACGAAACCAGTTCTAAATGACATACAAAAACAGCAAATCAAATGGTTTGCCCACTTAGAGAGAATGCTTTGTAACGCCATACCATACAAGACATACACCAAAAGAGGAGGACATAGAGCACAAGGTAGACCAAAAACAAGATGGAATGATAACATCAGAGAAAGTCTACAACAGCATGATATGGCTATGGTCGAGGTAGCCAGAAACTTATGTCTCCCTCAACACCCGAAGCGTTAAAGTGAGGAAAAAATAGAGGAAGAAAGAGATCAATAATATTGGGAGAAGAAAGTTAGCTAGGAGAGATGGAAAAAGATAAGATAGTTTTGGGTTGAGTTGGTTGAGTGCCTGTGTTCTAATGAGGTGCTACAGAGCAGACGAGAAGAGAAATTAATTTGGCCAAGTAAAATTGTTACTGGAGATAATTTTTGGGAAGGAAATAGTTAATCTGATCACCTCACTTAACATAAACTGGTAACAGTGAATGCCTGTCAGTTGGCAATCCTGTATCCCTAGATTGTGTTTCACATTTCACCAAAATTATGCACAGTTACAATAACATCCTAAAAAATCAGTCTAGATGGAAACATAAAAAAGACGACAGACAGAAACAGGTAGAATAAAGGAGGCACATAAAATCGGGGAACCGGAAACAGTTTAGTTCTCTTGACCCGGTTTACCCACACAGGGAAGAACGGCCAGACAAGTAATAACGGCAGTCACTGAACATTTCCTTAAGAGATAAGCCATTGTAGACACCGGGAAGGAGGTATATAAAACTCAAAAGAAGTTTGACAAGGTACGAATTAGAACATTTCCAGGTTCACCTGCAGAATTGTTTCACAATGACCTAAGAAGAATGACACCACTGCACACTCCAGAATGTCCACTTTGTGCACATCTTTACAAGATCTGAAGGGTTTTACCTTAGGTGTCAAGGTACAACCTGAGGTGGTAACTGAGGCATTTTACTGGGTGGAGAAAATCCCAGCCACACATGTTGTCAAAGCATGCTCAGGAAGGTGGAGTCAGGTTTTCTTGTGAATGGAATACGAAGGAATCAGTCCAGTGGTCACAGGTGGTGAAAGTCACATGGATCTTTGCTCAGGCAGGTGTGTTTGAGAATGAGCAAGCTGATGGGTTGGCTTGACTGACCCCAATTGGGGGTGTTCTGCATCTATCTGCACAAGGCAGAGTTGAACTCTCGTCTATGGGACAATGTAACAAGTAAAAAGGAAACCCTTGTACCTGGAGAGAATGATGTAATGAGGAGTGCCTGCAAATTGTGGGCAACACTTGAAAGGGGGGAGGGAGAGGCAAGACCATCATTATGGAATTTCTTCACTGACTGTTAAGGAAGGAGACGGAGCTAATGTGGTCTGGTCCTGAATGCTGTGATGTCCAGTCTTCATGAAGATGAAGTCGCCAGTTCTTGCAGGAATCAGAAAATGGTGATTCCACAGTTTTTACAGTATAAAAGTTTAAAAAAAAAAAGTAAAAGTAAAGGAGTTTTTTTCCTTGCCTTTAGGCATAGTTGGCATATAGAGCTAAACCTGTATTTTTATAGACCATCAACACTTTGTGAGTGATGTGGTCAGCATCACGACTTGGGAGTCAAGGAAATAAAAGAAATGTTTACTTTATATGGAGCATTACAGATGAACGCCTGCATTTATACATGTTTTATTCATTAGACGAGTTCAAAGGCATTGATGAATTTAAAAGAACAAAGACAGGTGACTGCATTTCTCATGTCTGTTTATAATTTTTTTTATAAATTGTTGAAGTCAGAAGTATTTGTAGCTGAAATTTGTTTAGTAACTATTCAGCTGAAATTCTGGTTGGAAATCTTATTTCACACTTTTCCCCCCAGACTTTGAGTGATGAAGATGCTTTCAAATGCTGTAAAGATATTGCAGACGTGGAGCAGAGAATCAAGGAATTAACATCAAACCTTTTAAAACGGTAGTTAAAAAAAAATATGCACATTTATTGTCAATTAGCTGTTACTTAAAATTACCACTGTTGCGCTTTGATCTAATCTATATGTGCTTACTCTTTGGCCATCTGGCTTGTGAAAAATAGTCTTTTTTTCCTGCCTGTTTTAGCAGAAGGGCAAAATTGACACAAGATCATGGCTCATATAGGGGCAAAACCAAGTGCAGTTCAGTAGTATAAGTCCCATTTCCAGGCCTTGATGATTATTAGATACATGATGGTAGCACCATATATTTGTAGACCAGGTGGTACTAAATGCGTGATGCCCAGTATCAAACCAGCTTCCTTTACTTCCCATACAATTTTCTAGTAACGATTCTTGAGTTGAAGGACCAGGTAAATTAAAAAATGAAATCCAAATGATGGGGATTGAAACCTGTGGTCAGCAGGCATGCAGAAATAAGTCACAGTATTTCTTGTCAGTTCAACACACATGGCTGGATCCAGGAATCTGTCAATGTCAGTCACATCGGAGCATCACTAGCTGCTCTTTTGAATTTAAGTGATCTCTCCTGTATGAATCAATAATGAGAATAGAGCTATTCAATGGCTTGAAAGTAGTACAGCCCCACATGTTGTAATTGTAAGAAACTCACAGAGATTTCCTTAGAAAAAATAGAATTGAGTGTGTCCTACAAGTAAAGTGGCTTGCATCGCTTCTTAAGACTCAAATCAGGAACATAACAGATTTTCTCCCTAGGATATTCTGAGGTGCAGGGCAATGAGCAGACCGATAGACTGTTTGCTGCTGCTCCTTTGTGCAATGAACTCATCCTTTGCAGAATGTCATTCTCATCACAGCCTGAAGCTTGGCCTCTTGCTAGCTGTCCAGCCTCAGGCACATTCCTACCCAATGTTTCTCTATCCTATGCCCATCTGCCCTTTTTTCCTGGTAGTATGCCTTTTGCTACTGCTTGTTCCAACCCACTGTGGCACTTGATTTGGCATATTTCAGAAACAAGATGCTGTTTAATAGCCAATTTTTCCTGATTCTTAGATTTTTAGTATGTCAATATTTTCTTTCCTTCTTGTTCCATGCTATTTTGAGAATCTTTCTATGACATTTCAGCTTAAAATCCCTGATTTTCTTTGTTAATTACTGTGAGATAGTTCACAACTCACATCCATATGTTGCTAAAGGGAAGATTCATGCTCTCAAAAATGTTGACTTTGATTTCCTGTTGATGCTTAACCTTAGACTGTTAATGCTGTTTGAGTGAGCTCATTTAAGTAGCGATGAGCTACTTTAGATAAAGTGGACATGGTGAAGGCTCTTTTGATATCAAAAGAACAGTGTAACGGAACAGACATAGCTTCCATACTTCAAGAGACTGACCCAGTGAACAGTGTAACGGAACAGACATAGCATCCATACTTTAAGAGACTGACCCAGTGAACAGTGTAACGGAACAGACACAACATCCATACTTCAGAGACTGACCCAGTGAACAACGTAACGGAACAGACACAGCATCCATACTTCAGGAGACTGACCCAGTGAACAGTGTAACGGAACAGACACAGTATCCATACTTCAGGAGACTGACCCAGTGAATAGTGTAATGGAACAGACACAGCGTCCATACTTCAGGAGACTGACCCAGTGAATAGTGTAACGGAACAGACACAGCATCCATACTTCAGAGACTGACCTAGTGAACAGTGTAACGGTACAGACACAGTATCCATACTTCAGGAGACTGACCCAGTGAATAGTGTAATGGAACAGACACAGCGTCCATACTTCAGGAGACTGACCCAGTGAACAGTGTAACGGAACAGACACAGCATCCATACTTCAGGAGACTGACCCAGTGAACAGTGTAATGGAACAGACACAGCGTCCATACTTCAGGAGACTGACCCAGTGAACAGTGTAACGGAACAGACACAGTATCCATACTTAAAGAGGCTGACCCAGTGAATATTGTTACGGAACAGACACAGCGTCCATACTTCAGGAGACTGATCCAGTGAACAGTGTAATGGAACAGACACAGCGTCCATACTTCAGGAGACTGACCCAGTGAACAGTGTAATGGAACAGACACAGCGTCCATACTTCAGGAGACTGACCCAGTGAACAGTGTAACGGAACAGACACAGTATCCATACTTAAAGAGGCTGACCCAGTGAATATTGTTACGGAACAGACACAGCGTCCATACTTCAGGAGACTGATCCAGTGAACAGTGTAATGGAACAGACACAGCATCCATACTTCAGGAGACTGACCCAGTGAACAGTGTAACGGAACAGACACAGCCTCCATACTTCAAGAGACTGATACAGTGAACTGTGTAACGGAACAGACACAGCATCCATACTTCAAGAGACTGACCCAGTGAACAGTGTAACGGAACAGACACAGCATCCATACTTCAGGAGACTGACCCAGTGAACAGTGTAATGGAACAGACACAGCATCCATACTTCAGGAGACTGACCCAGTGAATAGTGTAATGGAACAGACACAGCATCCATACTTCAGGAGACTGACCCAGTGAACAGTGTAATGGAACAGACACAGCATCCATACTTCAGGAGACTGACCCAGTGAACAGTGTAATGGAACAGACACAGCGTCCATACTTCAGGAGACTGACCCAGTGAACAGTGTAACGGAACAGACACAGCATCCATACTTCAGGAGACTGACCCAGTGAACAGTGTAACGGAACAGACACAGTATCCGAACTTAAAGAGACTGACCCAGTAAACAACGTAACGGAACAGACACAGCATCCATACTTCAGGAGACTGACCCAGTGAACAGTGTAATGGAACAGACACAGCATCCATACTTCAAGAGACTGACCCAGCAGAGAGTGAGCTGAGGATCTGGACAATTTTCAACATGTAAGGGAAAAGACAGTCGGCTCTGTGGCTAAGTCGATGCGAACGCTTCGTAATGCCGGGGTGCCGGGTTCGATCCCAGCTGCGGGGCATGCGCCTTGCGTTTATTTTCGACAGTGCTATCAGGGGGCTGACCGTCCAGAAAGCAATAGCAAACTACTGGACGTACATTTGCCTAGAGAAACCACACAACAGCCAGGGGCTGCTGGGGTTGGTTCTACAAAGTCCTGTAAAGGATACGCAACTAAAGCCTTTAAAGGGAAAAGACAGGCCGACATTTAATCAGGCTGTAATCGACATGGTCAGTATGGGAGCTTTCTTATATGGGTTCAGGTGGCCACTGCTTCCCTGACAAGCCTGTCATAAGAGTTGACTAATGAGGGGTGTTTCTTTTGAAGCCTGAGAGGCTAGGAACCAACAGCCTGCATACAAATAAGCCAGATCTGTTGGAAAAAAAAGGTTGTGCATGCAGAATGTAAGTTGTGGAACATGTCTAAGGTAAAGAAGTGGATGAACAACCAGAACTTTCCACCAAAGTTTACATCTAGTGTGAAGAAGAAAAGAAGAAGTATGGAAACTCTGTGTTGGGGTCAGAGCTTGTGTGGGAATGCCCCAAATATACAATAAACACAAATTTTTGATTCATTCTCTCCTGTGCACTAGCACCGGACACCACAGCACAACACACATACTTCAGCCTTGGGAGAAAAGATGTTTCCCTGTTCTATTAGTACAGCATAGAAACTTCTTCTTCTTCATGTTCACTAGCTGTTAACTCTGGTGGAAAGTTATGGTTGTTCATCTACTTGTGGACTGCAGTCCTGTTCCAGAACCTAAATGTTGCATGTACATCCATTTTACAGATCTGACTCATTTGTATGCAGACTGCTGGTTCCTTGCCTCTCCAGCAGATGCGCTCTGACTTCGAAGGAAGCTCCCAATTAGTAAGACTTACGGCATGCTTTTGGATAGGCAATAGGTCTAAATAGGGCCCCGGAACCCACACGGGGAAGCATAGCAACTGAAATAATTCACTACAAATTATACATATATTTCTAAGGGTTGCTGAAGATGGAAGAATACCTCAGACAGTTCGATTGACAGTCAGACGAGTCCCAAATAAATACCACAGAGAGACCAGACAATGCCCAGTTCCTAGAAATATCTTCACAAAGTTTTTGCACTTGGGTCAGTATTTTCATGTATTTACTTATATTGCATTATCCTTTGCCATGCTAAGCTTTGCAGAGGATCATGTTCCTTCACAAATCATTGTCTATGGTTTTCTTGATAAACTCAGCCTGTGACCATCTTCTGTGCCCCTGCGTCAAATCATGTAACATTTTCTCCCCTCTAAGACTCTCTTCCCAGTTGTCAGCCTTCTGCAGACCGTTTTATCTTGTAACCAGTACCTGATGTGAGTACTTAAATGTCTTTTTGAATAGGCCTCTTAACAATATGTGGAAGTCGGCCTTCTGAGCTCTTTTTGTGGGTTTTGGGGGTCCTGTGTGGGGAAGGGGGGGTGGGGGGGGGGGGGTGGAGTCAACCCATAGTTCCCATCCCTCTAACATGCATGTCGTAAAAGTTGACTTCTTACGTGCGTTTCCTTTAAAGGCAAAGAGAGGAGGAACTAACAGTCTTAATACAAATAAGCCAGATCTGTAAAACAGATGTGCATGTAAAACTCATGTGACTTCTATGACATTCTGCCTAACCCAATCGGAATTTTAAAACTTCCTGTTCCTATTCTAAGTTTACTATTAATTTGTCTGTTCTTTGACTTCCACAGATTATGTTGTGCTAGGAAAACTGCTCTTTGTATTTCTATATTTATCGGTTCCACCATCTTAACCTGTGCTACTGCCTAAGTAGGTTTATGACCCCACATCTTGGTGTATGATTTCATCAAGAAAATCTCCCTTGACTACATAAAATGTGTGCCAGGCTTCATGGTTACCTGACTGACAGCCATATTGGAAGAAAGGAACTGAAGAAAGTTTACAGAATCGGAGTCAGTGATTCTTTTCAACTGCACACACGAGAGATTCACAACTTTTAGTTAAGTCCTGAAGGAGTACTTTGTTTTATCTGACCCTGGTTTGGGTTTTAGATTATTGCAACCAATATCTTCTTCTTTATATTCCATGCTGTGTGGTATTGATAGTCATGTCTGTCCACAACCTTCTTTCTCCTGTACTTTTTCTGCACTCAGTAAATGCTATGGACAGTTACTCACTTTTGGTGTTGTTTTTCTTTCTTCATCTTTAGCAGTTAATGTCTGTGATTTCACTAACATTTGGAGGACAGACTTGTTTGATGCTAGATATTCATGTCCGGTTTTCAACAACAAAAATGTTTAAGCAGTTTTTGCTTTTTCTTCCTGTTATATAATCAGGTGTGTCCGAGGAGGTAGTTGAACGACTGACGCCAGTCCTAATGAACTTATTCAGGAGATTAGTGGATCCTTTCAAGCCTTTTCATTTGACACTGATTGCTGTTTGTTTTGCCAAGCTGAAGCCAGCTGATGAGCTAAGAGGAATTGGTACCTTCTTCACAAAAGCAGAAACACGTTCACCATGTGCTGAATCTAAACTGGTTACAGATAAAGCCACAGACAGTCAAGCTGAAAGTAAACATAATTCAAACTCAAAGTTTTCCTCAGCAGAACTTGAGCTTAAAGCAAAAGTTAAAACTATGAAGCATTTCTTTTCCTCGCCAAATACTGAACTTCATTCAGTCTCTCTACATAAATCTAACACAGCTGGTTGGAAGGCATCACAGCTGTCACAGTCTCACAGATCCAATTCTTCCTTGCCAGTTACTGATGCTTCAATTGTTACTGATGTGTCATTGACAACAGAAGCTTCATTAGCAGTTACTGATGTCCCACTGACAATGGTACCTGCAGCACAAACTGATATTTCACTAACACGTATGCCATCAGCAACTTTAGTTCCACAGACAACTATACCTTCAGTAATTTTGGTTCCACTGACAACTATGTCCTCAGCAACCTTTGTTCCCCTGACAAATACGCTGTCAACCTTAGTTCCACTGACAACTATGTCCTCAGCAACCTTTGTTCCCCTGACAAATACGCTGTCGACCTTAGTTCCACTGACAACTATGTCCTCAGCAACCTTTGTTCCCCTGACAAATACGCTGTCAACCTTAGTTCCACTAACGACTATGCCACCAGCAACAACCGATGCTCCACTGACAGCCATGCCACAAGCAACATATGATGAACTGCTACCAGAAACAGATCATCTATTGACAGAAAGTGATGCCTGTGAAAGATCACTTATCCAAGGCAGCATAAAACGACAGACTACTACCAGTAATATGAATCTCTCACAGCTTGCACCAAAAGGCAGCATCCCAGATTTCCCCAGAACTCAACTTCTAAAAGATGTAATGACAATTCCCCACACAGAAGCATTACCACCTGACCTCCCTGGTTACAGTTTGGATATAAAAGTACATTCCTTAGAAGAAGACTGTTTACAGAAGCTGTTATCTGCCGGCATTGATGTGGAAACTATTACAGAACTACCCCTGGACATACAGAATGAAGTTCTCTTACAGTACGGCATATATGTAGAGGACCTTCCAGAAGGGAGAAGGTTCAATTACATTTCTGACAAGGTCAGAACCAGATCAGGTAACACACCAAAACTGGCTACTGTCAAGACAAGGTGTGTGCATAGTAAACAAAGAAGCTCAAAACGGAATCTAGAAAAGACTTTGTTGGATGCTGAAGTTGTTGATAGACTTTCAAAACAAAGGAAAATTTTCTGCAGAGATGATGGGACTGCAAGTAATGAGTCATTGTGGAAAGTATCTTTGACTGAAACTGGTAAAGATTCAAGGGGCATGGAGGCTTTATGTGGAAGATATGGAGTTGAAGAAACACTTTTATCAGATGTAATTGAAGACCAGCAGCATCATCTAGAGATGACTTTAGGACATTCTTTAACAGTAACAGATGAACAGCCCAGGAGAAGAAATACACTAAATACACTTTCTTTATGTTCAAATATTTCTCAGTTGACAGATAAAGAATCTGATTGTGTTAACATATTCCATTTGCCAAGAAAAGATTCTGATAAAGAGCTTGATTGCAATAGTATTTCTGATGTGCCAGGAAACGATTTTGACGTTATGAATGTTTCTCAGTTGTTACTTAAAGATTGTATGAATATATCAGGACAAGTTTCCGATAGCATGGATATTTCCGAACTGTCCGGAAAAACGTCTGATTGCAATAGTATTTCTCATTTGCCAGGAAACGAACCTGATGGTGTCAGTATTTCCCACGTGCCAGAATATGACTTTTCTGCGTTGCCACCTCAGCGTACAAACAAGGAAGTACCAAATAGAAACATTGACATTTGTGCTATGGAATTAGGCCTGCCACAGAGCAACTCACAACTGACATCTGACTGCAGGGGTGAGTGTCAGGAACCAGTAAGACACACATCTCCAGCTGACATTCTCCCACAGCCCTGCGGTAGCATATCTTCACTTTCAAATGTGAGAAAAGCTCATTGCAGAAGACTTCCTGACAGCATCGACTCTGAGGTGTTTTCATCTTTGCCTAGTAATATACGTGGGGAGATAATGGCGCATGTTGTGATGGGGACATTAGATTCGGCCTGTGGTCAGCATCGCAAGTTTTTGGCTCCAGACCACAAAAGAAATCTGAAGCAGGCTAGGGATACCAAAGCAAAGAATCAAAATTCCCTTCTGACTTACTTCAAGAGGGACAATACAGATGCCAAGTGAATTGTTGAATTAAAGTGATTAAGATAACTATGTACTGTATAAGCTGTCATGATGAGTTGTTTCCTCCGGAATAGTAAAAATAACTGCCAGTTTATTAACCATTTTTGCCACGTGAATGCTTAAAAGGGAACCTGTGGGAATTTCCAGAAAAAAATCGCTTAAAAAAAACCAAAACTATTTTACAGTTAACTAATAAATAATATATATATATATGGGGAGTCGCCATGGCCGAGCTAGACGCTCGTCGCAGATCGATCGGAAGGTGGTGGGTTCGCTCCCCGGCGGAGCCGGCCTTTTTTCAAACAATGACCTTGGCTCCCAGGTCGACCCACCCTTGAGTGGGTACCGGGTGCAGTCCCGGGAAAGTAAAGGCGACCAGCGTGATGCTGACCACATCACCCATCTTGTGCCGATTGGTCTATAAAAATATAGGTCTAGCCCTATACGCCTTAAGGCGTGGAAAAGGGTCCTTTACTTACTTATATATATATATACATACATACATATATATGGGGAAGTAATCATTAAACAAGAACAGAGTAAAGCATTAAATAAGAATGCGTTCCTTGATCTAAAATATATGTATATATATATATATATATATATGACCTATGACCACTAGCACTGAGGCTTATGGGAAAATTGTAAGTCACCCGGGTTTTAAAAAAGCTATTTGATTCACTAGGAAACCGCTATATATTCTATATTTAGTAGATATATCCATATCCAGGCCTCCTAAACTATACAGGTGCAAATAGCACCAGTAGCATTTAACTGTGCTTTTCAAGAACAGGTCACTGCAGAAATGGTGGCATATCAGCATTTACGGGTGAAAATAGGGGTGACTGCTGCCAAGCTAATACCAGGCAATTCCAGTTAACTGTGGGAAAAAAAAGTTTAAAATAATAGGGAGGCAGAAAAACATGCGCAAAACAACACAAATCAACGTTTCCGCCAGGGGTCTTCCTCGACATGCAATGAACTTCAGAGCGGTAACAAAGAGGAGAGTACTCCAACTACTAAGGGGTCACGTGAGCAACAGTTTAAAAAAATGTAGAGTACTCACTTTACCTTGTGTAACCTAATGAACAGAGCGAAAAATTAGTGGCTTGGAAACTAAACCAAACATGTACGGTCATAAACAAAAACGTGGGTCAGACGTAGTTTATGTGAAAAATCCCCCCCCCCCCAAAAAAAAAATCCAGCAATTATGGAACTGTGTCACAACCGAAGTGACTAGATGAAGCTTTCTGGGGTCAATATTGTTAACAATGCTCCTGAATGCCTTAGCTAATACATGATAGTTAAGATCTTGTCAAGTATCTAAAGCACAGAAATGATAGGGAAGACTTTGATTTGAACATAGTGGCAGACAATGTTAATCTTTTCCTCCTTACAGTGGCTGGGTGTTCATTAGAGTCCTATGTAGTCACTTCATAGTTGGAGCATATTTGTGTTTGTGTACTGTGTTGTTCTTAATGTGCTGATGAAGGCTAATCGCCGCAACGTCCTTTGTTTGTTTATTGTGATCGATTTTGTAAAGCTAACATAAACTATTTGTTTTTTTCTTACCAAATTTTTTTCTTCCCTATAATTTCCTACCCCTTTAAAAACCTATCCTTGATAAGGGATTGATACTTTTCGCTTGAGAGCAGAAATATAATCAGATCTGCACAATCCACGGTGACTGCACCAACCTAGTCCTGTTCTGCTTTTCAGTGTCAGGTTTTGAAGAGGCACTGGGTGCAAGCCTTGGTATGTGTTACATAAGAGCTGGTATTTATGGCCTTAGGTTATGAAGAGGCACTGAGTGCGAGCCTTGCTATGTGTTACATAGGTGCTGGTATTTATGGCCTTAGGTTTTGAAGAGGCACTGGGACGAGCCTTGGTATGTGTTATATAGATGCTGATGTTTATGGCCTCGAGTTTGTCCATGGCCTATGTGGTTGACTTCTAGCTCTTTTTCCATTATGTCTGAGTGACAGGATTTTCTGTGGTGCGCTGTCTGGTGGTAGTCTTGACATGTGTCTGAACCATTTGATCTGTTGTCCATGCGGCTCTAAAAGCATCAGACTCACAACCTTCCTGTCCTCATCATCATGTAGCAGTCAAATGGCACAGTGTTGCTGTCATCACAGTTTGCCTGAAACTTGATCTCTCGCCAGCTCTTCTGCCTTGTGCACTTTCCTACCTTTATAGATAAAAGTAAAAGGTAAAGTCGGGAGATGTGAACCAGCGTCATTGCACACGGTTATAAACCATAAGTTCTCTGCCCCCGGTATGGACAGCTGATAAGAAACTGTCCACCTGTGTCGCCGTCCGCACTTAACTCTGTAGCTACACCGATGTTCCTCCATTTACCCAGAGTGTTAACTCTGGTACCCATTTCCTAGAGGCTAGGTAAACCCCGGGAACCACCCGGTTTCGAACACTGACTATGGCTGCAGCGAGTCGCAGCTGGCTTTACAGGTGTTCTTTATACCCTATACGATCTTTGGACTGGTTGGCCTTGCCCCTCTTTCCTCGTATCATGCCTTGTGCTATTATTTTGTGTCCAATCCTCCATGGTGTTTGATATGGCCAAAATAGTTGTTTTCGAGGCAAGATGCTGTTTAACTGAGAATCTTCCTTAATGTTCAGATCTTGTAGGATATCAGTATTTCTTTTCTTGTTATCCTTGGTATTTGAAGAATGTTTCTTTAGCATTTCTGATCTCATGGCATGCAGGTTAATTTACATGAATGAGAAAGATGGCATTCATGATTTATTTTGATCTTTCTCTTGTAAATTTTGGAAGAAGTTGCATTAGTGTCTTTGTTGTTGTAGTTTGTTTTGATGAAAGGATCAATGCTCATTCACTGGTTCTAATTGTATGCTTGGAAAGATATATACTTTGGTTATCTAGTTGAAAAAAAAAAAATTACATTGCAGAAAGATGCACACATGATGTATTTTGATTATCCACATTTTCCAGCTGTCATTCTCCTGTAGCCTTTGAATCCAGCTGTCATTCTCCTGTAGCCTTTGAATCCAGCTGCATTAGGGTCACTTTTAGGAGATCTTCTTCTTCTCGTTCACCGGCTGTAAACTCTGGTGGAAAGTTCTGGTTGTTTGTCCACTTCTGGACTGCAGTCCTGTTCCAGAACCTGAGTGTTGCGTGTGCATCCGTTTGACAGATCTGTTTGCAGACTGCTGTTTCCTTGTCTCTCAGGCAGATGCACTCCGGAAGCTCCCAATTAGTCGACTCTTACGACATGCTTTTGGGTAGGCAGGTCTATTCTTGTTTTTCCCATAGTAGCGTCCCCGGAACCCACACGGGGAACTTTTAGGAGATGAAAGTATTATTAATTACTGAAAACTTTTAATTGCGTTCTTAAAAAAAAATGTTTTTGTTGATTTACTTATTGCATTATTTAAACGGATAAAATAATTGCTAAAGGAAAACATAATAGCTAAAGAAAAACATAATTGCTAAAGGAAAACATAGTAGCTGAAGGTTACACAGAGATGTCCATGTAATGATGAACTGTAAGATATGATTGTAGGTTGTGTAGGTTTCAGTGTCTACAGTTGTTGCCATCATTCTACATTGTGCTATAGGGGGGCATGGGCAATCAGTCCCTGGCAATACCACCCACAGCTAGGGATGAAATTCCTCCTTTCCTCTTGATAACACAGACAAGCACAAATTACACAATTACACTGAATATACTGATGTGAAAAGAAGATGCACATTCGCAAAATGAAAGTGCACAGATGAATCTTATATGTTCCAAGTGCTGAATTATTTTTGTGTGCTTTTGGTGCTACTTGTTTTATTCAATAATTTATGGGATGATTGTTGGCTCTGTGGCTAAGTCGATGCGAACACTTCGTAATGCCGGGATGCCGGGTTCGATCCCTACTGCGGGCCATGCGCCTTGCGTTGGTTTCGACAGTGGTATCAAGAAAGCCAACTGTTCAGAAAGCAATGGCAAACTACTGGACATAAATTTGCCTAGAAAAACTATACAACAGCCAGGGGCTGTTAGGGTTGGTTCTGCAACGTCCTGTAAAGGATATGCAACTAACCTATGGGATGATTATTTATGCAGATCAGGTTTGACTAATGAACTGGAGAAAACTGAAACCAGACTGTTAAATATACTCAGAAACAAAGTATATTTGTAGAGTTAATAAAAAATATATTTGCATCACATATGGTTTCACACATCAATAACAGCGAATGTATCAGTACACACACTCCTGCCATTACAATAATGCTGACAATGTGAATATTGAAAACAAGTCAACAAACAAAAATAGAAACACAAATTCAAAATTGTCCTTCTAGATAAGCAGATCTTTTACTCCAGTTATCTAGGTGAAGAGTTTGGAAAGGTCATCCTTTGTGCTCTTACTGATGCACTGTATAAGTTCATCTTCATTTCTCTAAATTTGATACCATCTTTCCATGCTTTGGGTGGTCTTTGCTTTTTTGTTTATTATAAATCTTCAATCTGGCTCTGAGTAGCAGCTTGCATCAGGATCATATCAGATGATGAAACTCCCTTGTTGCTCTCTAGTGATGACTATCAAACACAGCACTTTGTGTTGGTCCATACAGAATTGTATGACTGGTTTTCAAATGTTATCTTTTATTGTTACTCTGGCAACTCTTCCAAGACACCTCAATCACAAAAATCAACCATCTAAACTTTAATAAAAATTAAAAAAAAATAGATGGTGCATTCAAGGGATCCCAAATTTGACATAACTCAGAATACTGCTGCATTGTAAAGGTACAATGTAACTTCAACTTCCACATAAAAATAAAATGTTCACCTGTTCACAGAGCAGTTGTATTTGATAAATAAAGCATGTTTTGTTCATATACAAATATGCATAATATAAATATAAAGGAAAAAAATACAAAAGCATGGATGGTAAATGCATGAGGACATGCGCCCACTCACTCACACATCACTCATACGGATAATATACTCTTATACACAGATCCATACATATCGTACCCACACATTCATAGACAAACATGCATATATCATGCATACACACAGAATCATACCGATAATCTTGAATCTACATATATATGCACTCACACAAACACACTTGCACTCGCTCATTCATACACATAAATGCATCACCTCCTGCCATTAATTTATGCGACTAGCCATGTTTTACTGTTGGTGACTCCGAGTTTGAAGGTAGAGCTGTATATTATCTCTCCTCAGTGTTTTTGGTCTGCCTTGTGGTCTTCTCCCATTTAATTCTTTTGCATACTAGCTGCAAAATTAAAGTCAATCATGAACCAGGCTTGTGTGAGTTTGTTGAAGATTTACACTTCATTTGATGTAATAAGGAGAAAAGAAATTTAGCTGAAGTCCAATGGGAAGACAAGTTGGGATATGTTACTAGAAACCAGTTCTACAAGAGGTAACATCTGTGCATTCTAATCAGTTCAGTTTTCACATGCCCAGACAAAACCTAGCTTCAAACAGTCACACCCTCACCTGGTTTAGCTAGGCAAGGAATAGAATGTAGCAAAATAAGGAAAATAAGCAATCTTCTTCTGTGTTTATCCAAGGTTGTAATTTACAAGGTGCCAGTTGACAACATGGCTGTGATATTTCTGCCTTTTGGTGGACACACACAACTTCTTCAGGCATGTGTTGTTCTGGCTAGCCTTCTAATATTTTTTGTAAATGATGTCAGACGCATTGTTTATAGTTTTCCTACACTGGCATGCAGAGCTTCCTTGTAGTCTTGTATATTTGTCATAAAACAGGTTATACAAATGCAATTAAGAGCTATTGATGCCCTGCTGGCTTATCAGTCCTCCAATGAGCGACTTGGTCGAGAAGTCGTCAGGTCTGGTCTTTGCATCAACACTGCAAGAATCCTTTTTCAGGACTGTTTGGTGGCAAGCAGTTTTTAGCCATGAAAATGACACAAACAAACACAGACTACAAAAACAAAAAGCTCCCCCTGGGGGAATACTGGTTACATATGGTCGAGTTTTTTTGGTTTTTACCAACTGCAAGCAAGCAATGTAAGAATGAATTTATTTCATGAACAACACACTACAGAAAATCTGGATTAGATGTATGTTAAATTAGTAAGTGTGAATCTATTAGCTGGTTCTCAAGTTAAGTGAGACGGGTACAGTTGTCACGACTATATCCTTGAGTCAGCTGTGGCCAGGTTACACAATATCATCATAGCCTCCGAGTCTTATGTTAAAAAACATGATCAGCTTTCTGGTGTTCTCTGGGATCTTCAGGAAAAAATGACCACCTGGCATTGTGCGAAACGTGAACTGTCCAGATGTAACTTGTTTCCACGCTAAAGGAAAGGAAAACAAAGCTGACTGTAATAATAAGTATTCATTAAAACAACAGTTCTTAAGATCTGGTACCAGTGCCCCTTGTCTGGTACTGATGAAAACAGTCATGCTAATACCAAGAAAGTAATCCACTGATCTGGGACTCAGCAGCCTAACGAAAAGGGAAAGGGGAACTAAACACACAAGACAAATTGTATATGCCAGGAGTCTTTATCGACCACATTTTTCTTGTTATGTGTTATTGCCATTTCCTTCATTAGTTATGCTTCTTAGTCACAGTTCAGTGGATTAATTTCTTAATCTGGTATGCAGTGATTATAACTGACTCACAGAGCTTGCTGAGAAAGGTGGAGACAGGCATGCTGTATGCAGAGTGACAAGCATCGCTTCAGAGGTCCTGGGTAGTTAGCGTCCTTTGCATATCGCCGGTGTGTTGGGAAATGAGCAGGCGGATAGACTGGCTGGTTCTGCACCACTTGGTGGTGACCTGATGTATGACAAGCTAGATACTGAGGGCCCTTCGGGAGTGTGTGAACAGTGCGGAGGCACAAAGAGATCATTACAGCCTGAGGAGAACGGCGCTGCGGGGGAGTTACCAGGTATACAATCAGACAGTTACTGGTACCATCAGAACTGGAACTCTTCACTAAGGATGGGGACGGAGCACTTGCCAGAGTGTTCCAAGTGCTGTGAAGTTTATTCTTAATTCAACATTCAACAGTCTGGTATAGGCAGGTTTAAATTCCTTTCAAAGCAGCTTGATTCTTTCTCCCTGACCAGCTTCCAATCTCTGAAGGCTAAGGCCTCATTCGTAAATGTCACCACAGCTGTGATACACTACTAAAGCATGTTATAATCACTATCAAAAAAACTCTTTTAACTAAAATGACCCAACAAATCAACAGTAATCAGGAGTTCATTTAGAGTTCTATGTCAAGTGCGGTAGCTAGGAGTTTTTTAAGCTGTCATATCAGACTGGGGCAAAACAGAAGACTTTTCTGTGTCAGTGTTATTGAAAACTTCTTGTACTACACACTTACTATTTGGCATGACTGTCTGTGTCAGTGTTATTGAAAACTTCTTGTACTACACACTTACTATTTGGCATGACTGTCTGTGTCAGTGTTATTGAAAACTTCTTGTACTACACACTTACTATTTGGCACTGGTAACCAAATATGTTCAGTCTCTTTTCTGTGTACTCTTCTGTGTAAAATTTCAAAGACAGATATTCTTCCATGCTATGATGTCTAGCTGTTCAACCTCTTCTCTCCAGGTCTCCCCCTGCCTCAGTTTCCATCCAACTTTCCTGCTGTCACGACAAACTCCAGTTTTCCAGTTCCCCTCCTCTCATGACCTGCCAAACTGAGGTCTTCTACAAAAAAAATCAGTTCTTTTTATACATGTGCTGTCTGACGGATGAATGTAAGATTGGCCTGTGTGCCTAACTTGTGAGCTTTTAAAAATAAAGTTTGTTTGTCCATTCCATTTGAGTTAATTTCTTTCAAGACATTTCTATTATGCTTTTGATCTGCTCATACTGAACATATTTTTTTGTGCAACGAAACCGCATCTACAGCCTTTCACTTAGTTTTTTACCATGAAACCACATCTCTGCAGCTTCCACATCATTCTTCTAGAAAACTACATCTCTACAAAACTGACATAACTTTTCCATGAAATCACATCTCTGCAGCTTCCACACCATCTTTATATAAAACCACATCTCTGCAGCTTCCACATAATTTTTATGTGAAACCAAATCTCTGCAGCTTTTCCACAACCTTTTTCTATGAAACCACATCTCTGCAGCTTCCACATAATTTTTATGTGAAACCAAATCTCTGCAGCTTTTCCACAACCTTTTTCTATGAAACCACATCTCTGCAGCTTCCACATACTTTTTATGTGAAACCAAATCTCTGCAGCTTTTCCACAACCTTTTTCTATGAAACCACATCTCTGCAGCTTCCACATAATTTTTCTAAGAAACTGCATCTCTGCAGCTTTCATATAATTTTTCACTTCTGCATTCATCCTTAAAAGGGCATTTGTCATGCATTATGGTTTACAGCTGGGCTGTGATATCTGTGCTTAAGAACCTACATTATTATTTTAATAGACACTATTTGAACTAATAATAATGAATTTATAAACATAATAAATGTTGCACTCAGAAATTAGGCTTATGTTGTGTTCTCTGACATCCTCTAGATCACAGAATATAATTCCCACTGGGAATTCCAGGACCCTGTTTTGTAGAAAAAAAAAGCACAGATGTACGTGACTTAATACGTCTAAATAGGGATAAGCTGAAATCAGAAGTGTTGGCTCCAATGGGTGTAGATCTCCCAGCCTTGCTTAAACCACCACACAAAGTCCTCTCACAAAAGAAGACGTGTTTTCTCTAAAGAGCTAGCGAGTATTGTAATACTCAACTCTCCATGTGGGTTCCGAGGACCCATTTTGGGGGAAAAGAACACACCTGCTGCTTCCCTAACAAGGACATCGTAAAAGGTGACTACACAGGGATTTTCCATCTGAATTTGAAATGCATCTGCGTGAGGAGCAAAGAACAAACAGTCTTGCATACATGCAAGCCAGATCTGTAAACGGATGTGCATCGCAATTGAAAGTCTGGAACAAAGATCAAAGTTCAGAAGTGGACAATAAACATAACTTTTTGCCAAAGTTTACAGCCGGGGAACACTGAGAAGAAGAAGAAGAATACTGAACTACTGTAAGTTCTTCATTTTCTGCATTCACCTCTAAAAGAGCGGTTAGCAAGCTGAGTTTGGTTTATACCTATGTGATTTCTGTGACTTTCAGCCCAACTGACTGATTTCAGTGAAACCCTAATTAGTTGCCTTCTACAACATGCTGATTGGGGGTAGGGGGTCGCCACAAATAGGGCCATCGGAGGACAGAGCAGTGACATGGACAGTAGCAACGTAACATATCTGACTTCTTCCTTATTCACACTCTGGCCTGCAGGATCTCTCTCTAACAAAAACAGTAGTTAGCTAAATTAGGTACAATATTTGGATGTAATGAAATGTTTGGGAATCCCTGCTACACTTGAAAGCTTACCTTGGATGTCATGGTCCACGTCTTCAGTTCCATCAAAGAAATCAATAGGACAAGAGAGTGGTGGTCTTTGGTCAGGCTTGTGTTCATATCTGTGAAATTTACAGATTGAAATGAAAGGAAAATTGTTATTCAATCAGCACTAAAAAGGACAGCTATTAGATAGCATTATTCCACTCAGCAGAGTAGCCAAATCACAGAAAGAACACACGGAGGCATATTATATATATATATATATATTAATAGTACTGATTACTGATTAAAGAACTGACATAGCACACAAGGCAAAAACACAGATGCTTCGTCTCCTGCAGCAAATGTCTTAGGGTGAAGATGCCAACTGTTCTTGTAGCATACTGATTATACACACAACATTCTCTTCCTCTCATAAGTCCCTCCTTGACGGATCTACTCCTAATTCCTCGTACATACATTCTTGCATGTTATTTCATCCAATTTATTCTGTCAACATTAATTCATATTTGTCTGCAGAATATCGCCCTTCTCCAGTCTGTGAGTGTTCCCGTAACTGTCGCTTTAAAAAACCCAGAAAATCCACTTTTTCATTCCCTTGTACTCTTGCATATCCCGGATAATACACACAATTGATAATAGTATACATCATATTAAATGTAGATAGAAGGAAAGCTAAATGCATAAGACAATCACTGTGTCAAAGGAAACATGTACATAAAAATGGGACGATTTAACACAGGTAAAGAAATAAGATTCACTTCAAAATTCACTGTACCCTTTGACTGTCAGAAATAATTCTGATATATTAGCATTCAGATTATCTGAAGACTCTTGAAAATGCTTAACTCTGCTGAAGTGAGTCTAGGGTAAGAAACTAATCTCCTGCCAAACAGTATCAAGGTACCAGCTACACAGGGAGTGTGTTGCAGCGCTCCACTCCCCCCCTCTCCAAGTTTGTGAGGTATGCAAGGCTGATACTGAAATGTTGCATCTGCAGAGGCTTACTTGGATGTAATTAGGCCAGGAATCAGTATAGCCTACGCTGAATGGCCAGTAATTATAATAAAATAGGCTCACTGAGAATGACTGCTAGGATTTTAAACTGATATCATTAAAAACAAAAAAATTAATGGATATACACACGTGGCATCTTAAAATGAAGAAAGATAACTTACGTAAGATGATCAATCATACACATATCAGCACGCAGAGGTGGGTAATAAATTTCTGCCAGTTCTGCATTATCAAATATTTCACTTGGTGTTCCGCCTGCAAACAAGTATAGCATTCAACAGCACTTACAAGTCTGGCAGGCTGTCATTTTATCTATATGTTAATGATATCACACTTAATGTAACTGCACACTGGGCACTCCCATGCGTGCTCAGTCCTCCAATGCAGCAGCCACTCCAAGGTACCCCTCCTGATAGTTCTCATGAAGAGCTGGTTATAATATCTTCTATCTCAGCTCTGAAGAAGGTATAGATTTTTAAAAATATAATATAGATTTTATATACCTGGGTTTGGTCAAGTCTTATACATAAAACTTCATATATCTAAAATTTGTTCTTATATACTGAATCCCTCTTGGTTTATATTGTGACACAGTCGTGGTCTTCACATCCCCCAAGTATGGATGTGCCTAATTCGGCCAAGGTGTCTGGATACAGTTCGTAGCTCTCTTGAATGTACTCAAGAACAAGGCCAGTGGTGTAACAATTACACAGCAGTTTATTTATTAATAATATTATCAAGTCAAACAGAATGAATCATTTCAATAACCAATAGTATAGGAACACTTCATTATCTTATTACTGGCTATTCGTATGTCTTTCTATGAGTTCCTTAATCACTCTCTTAGCTAAACTCCAAGTTTAATATATATCTTCTAAACGAAGTACAGCTCTAGTTTTCCTAACTGGTCTCTCAAGTGGTCCAGTCCTAACTGTCCTTCTGCTCTCTCCAACCCCTCGCTTTCCCTCTCTTTCTCGCGTGCGTTCTCAATCACCCCCCTGTCACCTGTCTTTGGTGGTCACGTTTGGATAAACGTATCTCTTTAACTGGTCACAGTGCCTCTGGTTTTATCTGTATAGCTGGTCGGCCAGCTTTCTAATCACTGTTTTCTGTCATGCCAACGAGTGACGGATAGGCGTGCTTTTATGCTGATCTGAGATGTATGCTTTGTTCATTTAACCCCTTTCTGCCTATATTTCATTACAATATTTACCGCAGATAATTTACACATATACATTTATATACATATATAATCTACTGCCCACATATTGTAAAAGCATGTGCACATTTGTCAAGAAGCTTCCTCTTCTTATTCACAGGCTGGAAAGTTCTGGTTTTCTGTCCACTTTCGTCTTGTTCCAGAATTTGGGTTTCTTGTGCACAGCTGTTTTACAGATTTTGCTTATTTGTATACAGACTGCTAGCTCCTCGCCTCCAAGGCAGATCCTTTCCAACTTTGATTTAGTGGGACTTTTACATCATGCTTGTTGGAAAGGAGGGGGAGAGGGGAGGGGGTTTACTCCCCCCACTCATAATGAGGCTCTGGAAACCACACAGGGAGTTGAGAAGCATACTTGTCCACACCCCAGCAAAGCTTCTGATGGTGATTTACACACACACATACAAAGCAAACATGGTAATAATAAGAGAGTGAGAAGATAAAAGCCTGGGCACTTACAAAAAGAGAACATGACAATCAAAAGAACACGGAGGTATGCCTCTGCCTTCTCTTCCGGAAGGTGTACCCCCAATCACTGTTCTCTCTTGGCCACCATGACGTTTAACATGGCAAAAATACCCAAACTTTCGGGACAGGATGCTGTTTATGAGCCAATTGTTCTCATTGCTCAGATCACACAGGATGTCTGTGTTTTCTTCTTCTTGGTCCATGGTATTCTGATTATTTTTCCCACAACAATTCAGTTCAAACGCTCCACACCTCTTATTTTTTGTGTGCTGCTCATGGTATCTGATAGGGTTAAATCCGCAGGCTTGCCAACTATCTTGGAGTTTAAACTTTTATATATGTCAATAATGTCTAACCTCTCACCTACTCACTGGATTCCCTCCATCAACTAATCACGTCGCCCATTCTTCTTGGCACGGCTCACACTGACAGTGATTATAACTGGCGTCATGGAGGGCCAACCCAAACAAGAGCACCACTATAACTTTACAACTAGCGTTGGAGATCACGCCTCTGACCTCTGGTACAATTGAACAGCAAAGCAACAGTACCATTGTCAAAAGTCTGCTGAAACTTCTGAATGGTTTTCATGTGGGTTTTATCAAATGGGCAAAATTGTTGGGACAGCACGGCTCAAGTTCCGTAATTTGATAACAAATTAAAAATCTGATGGGCATTCGCAACAGTAACACACTCACAGTCTGATTTCTAGCGATAAGTAGGTTTGTTATTACCTCCTGGTGAAGAACACGCTGATTTCTAGCGATAAGTAGGTTTGTTATCCCCTCCTGGTGGAGAACACGCTGATTTCTAGCGATAAGTAGGTTCGATATCCGTTCCTGGTGAAGAACACGCTGATTTCTAGCAATAAGTAGGTTGGTTATTACTTCCTGGTGGAGAACACGCTGATTTCTAGCAATAAGTAGGTTCGTTATCCCCTCCTGGTGGAGAACACGCTGATTTCTAGAGATAAGTAGGTTGGTTGTCTCCTCCTGGTGTAGAACACGCTGATTTCTAGCAATAAGTAGGTTGGTTATCCCCTCCTGGTGGAGAACACGCTGATTTCTAGCAATAAGTAGGTTCGTTATTACCTCCTGGTGGAGAACACAATGATTTCTAGCGATAAGTACGTTCGTTATTACCTCCTGGTGGGGAACAAGCTGATTTCTAGTGATAAGTAGGTTCGTTATTACCTCCTGGTGGAGAACACGCTGATTTCTAGCGATAAGTAGGTTCGTTATTACCTCCTGGTGGGGAACACGCTGATTTCTAGCGATAAGTAGGTTCGTTATTACCTACTGGTGGAGAACACGCTGATTTCTAGCGATAAGTAGGTTCGTTATTACCTCCTGGTGGGGAACACGCTGATTTCTAGCAATAAGTAGGTTGGTTATCTCCTCCTGGTGGAGAACACGCTGATTTCTAGCAATAAGTAGGTTGGTTATCCCCTCCTGGTGGGGAACTCACTGATTTCGTTCATGAAAAAATTAAGATCACATACTATTTTAACAGACCACCTGGAACAAGATGGTAATAAACGTCTGATCAAATACACCAGAAAATGGAATTACCTAATAATTTGATTTTAGCCAGAAATTCATCTTTTGTCATAGATTCTGTGAACATTGCTCTGCCTCTTCTGTGAGGTGACTGTCATTGAAAAAAAAGCATTAAGAATAACAAATATATCAGTGTACATTACATTTGAAGGAAACTAGTTATTATATCCATTCTTTAATTACAAATATTTATCTGTCATGCTCACATGTAGTGTTTAGGAGCTCAGATTAATTACTGTTATGATATATTGCTTCTACTAGGAACTTAATCAAGTCATCTCCTTGTGAGATGCAATTTTTCGTTATTTGAAGCCCCACCCTGGCTCTTGCCAGGGGCCGCAATATAGCCCGACCATAAATATGGTCTAATGGCTGAATGCGGTTTCTAGGACCTCTCCACGGTGATCCTTATCCGCATGGTGGCACTTTGTGTCATCGGGTGTTTTATCGCTTGTGTGATGTCCTAGTGGGGTAAAAATCTACTACTACTACTACTTCTACTAGGATTTAAACATGTGTGCAAACATAATTTGAGTGATTCAGGTATTGAGATAGATTCTGGGAAACACGACGCCACTGATTTTGTGCACAGATGGGGAAAATCAGGAAGGGAGGAAGGACTTTGAGAAGAAGCACATCAATGTATGACGGCAACAACAATCCTGAAATGCTTTGCACTTAATGTGGATGATCTCTTAATAGGTCACAGTCGCCATGGCCATGAGCTAAGATTCCCAAGCCTCCCTTAAGGAGAGATTAAACTCCCAAATTGAATTTGATTATATCTGCTGGAAGCAATGCTTTCTATAGATACATACTAGTTACAGATTAAAAGAAAATTAATTCTGGTGGCTAAAATCAACATATTTTCATGGAAATTTATTGAAAATGTAATATTTTATGTGGAAAATAGCAAGTTTCTACTCAATATTTACCAAGATATTTCAAAAACTAGTAAAGATGGCCGAATAAAAAATATGCAGCATTGTTTCCAGCAGATATAATCAAATTCAATTTAGGGGTTTAACCTGTGATTAAGCACTACAAAATCCTGCAAACATAGAAAAGTGCTTAAAGCTGAAATACAAACCATTCAAAGGGGATAGTAAACACAGTCAGGAGCCGCCATCATTTAGCGGCTAGACGCTCACCTGAGAATCAGATGGTCATGGGTCCTGTTGGACATAGGCTTCCAGGTCGACCCAGCCTTGAGTGGGTACGAGGTAAAAAAAAGGAAAGTAAAGGTAGCCAGCATGATGCTGACCAAATCACCCACCGAGTACCCATTGGTCTATAAAATACAGGTCCAACCCTATATGCCCAATACACCTAAAGGCGTAGAAAAGGTCCTTTACTTACAATCAGATTATGGATCCACATCTGTCTTGCTTAGTCCCTTTTTCTCCCCCTCTCGACCGAGCCCTGTAGAATCATTCTGATGAGACTGGCACATCTTGTTACATGTCCGTACCTTTGCACTTTCCATATTGTCACTATTGTTAAAAGTGGCTCCTAGTTGCTGTTAAATATATGACTAACTTTTGAAATATAATACTGCAGCTGGCTTAGCTAATCCAAACATGCAAACCGGACAATCAGCTCTGACTAACTGCACTAGGTATGGAAGCTGACTGAGTACCTTCCCAGAGTTTAATCAAGCTGATTCTATTTAAAAACAAGTGACATTCAATGACTCACATGTGGGGCTGTAGTTCCTGATAAAAACAGACATTCTGGTTCTATGTTGTACTTTTGTTTCAGTTCTATGGCCACACAAAATGCCAACAGTGCACCCATGCTGAAAAACATTTGTTAGCATTTCGATGACACGTTTGTAACTGTTTCGATGTAGTGTAACATTATAATCATAGTGACTGCTTCCCCTTTACAATGAACAAACAAATTATGTCATAACCAACAGGGTTTATTCTTCTCATTATTGTTTATTCTTGAGTTTTATTTTGATATGCCCATACTGTTGGCACTAAGTAGGAGGAGGGCCTGAGCTGAAATATCTGCAGGCAGTTGTTAATCACATGTGTTTGAATGAGAGTCTTTCTGTTTCCAACAACTGGGTAGAATTTACACAGACAACCTTTTCAGCTGGTCAGTAAACAAAGAGTGGAGACTCCCAGAGCAGTGTGAAAGTGCAAAATCTTTTTATGGCTTACATAAGTGACATTTCTAGTTGATGTCACCAGCGAGTCTCTAACATCCTACACTACAAGAGTTATATAGAACCAATGCTTGTCGATGACTACAGTGTACACTAGGGCTGTACCGAATACTGATTGTCACTATTCGGCCGAATACGAATAGCGGGGCCGAACACGAATAGTGTATCGTCAGCATCAGCTGCCTTGCCGACTAGAGTGGCAATTATGCCTCGCCACAATCAGCGATCTCCTGCAAGATGTATTAGTTCGTGTGCAGACACACCTCCATGCTATGCAACAAGACTGTCAAGCATCTTCTCTCATTGTCTTCCTCTATCCCTCCTTCCACAGATCTTTCCAGTGGTCACCACATGTTCCATTTTTCCTCTTCTCATAATATGGCCCAAAAATGATGACTGTCTCCTTCTGATGTCTGTGATTAGTTGTCTTCGGGCTCTCGCCTCTCTCAAAACCTCTTGGTTTATTTTTGTGTGTGTGTGTGCATTGTTCTATAAAACCACATCTCTGAGGCCTCAAGAAATTATTTGGCCTGCCTACCGATTGTCCAGGACTTACAACGCATTGCCTTTAAATATAAGTGCTTACTTGATGAGGCTAACAGTTACTATTGTACAGACCACATTTTCCACTTTAAAATTTCAGCCAAAATATAATCACAACCTTACTTATCCGCTGCACCTTCACGAATACAGATGGAGGATTGGTCGCACCTCGAGATAAATACAAAAAACAATTTTTAGCACACTGCAGTTGACATTTTATGTAGTAGGATACACTTCGAGTGTGAAACAAGGAAAAAAAAAAATCTTTTCGACAGTGGCGAGGAAAGACAATTTAAATTGTAACTTTTAAGTAACTGCATGCATTCTTTAAATAATGTCCCAATTTATAGCCGAATTTTCTTGATTTTTGCCGCGGCACCCCTGGCATACGCACCCAGTTTGAGAACCTTTGCTGTAATGCCTTGGTCGAGTCAGCAGGCAGAGACCTTGCCAGCTGCTGTACAACGCAACGGGGTCGCAGTTTCCCCCGCTATGACAAACTTAGGCAACAGCATTGTGTTAAGGAGAGAGTTATTTCAGTCCATCACAGTGTATGCAGAAACGGGTGTAAGGTAAGCACTATCTGTATTCGGCTGAAAACCGAATAGTTATTTGGTCCACTATTCAGCCCCGAAGCGAATACGAAGTAAATATTCGCTACAGCTCTAGTAATGACAGCAAAGAGACACACTCGGTAGTGGCACGGAAGATATCACCAACTTCAGTTAGCAACCCTGATGTCAATCGTGCAAGCTATTAAAAGTCAAGTGGAACTAAATATAACGCTTTCAAATTCACATACCCAAAATCAGCCCTCCAAATGGTCTTATGCTCCAAACGGGACAACATCGTCTATAAAAAAGTAGTGCATTCCAAGCCACTGTGGTATTTCTAGAAATGAAAGGCAAATGAGCTCACAAAGGCTACAGAGAACCTCATGCAGCCACAATTGTCTCAGACACTTAAAACAATCAATCCAGAGAGTTTACCTGGAGAGAAGACCCAACAGTGACAGAACAGAGAATGTTGTAAAATGTAGGAAGAAAGATGATACAAAACAAAGCGTACTGCATTTTTCTGTTTGTTTACAGAAGATGTATTTCTAATCAAGGAACAGATCTGAGAATGTGGTGACAACAGGCAAGACTGACAGAAAGAAGGCAGCAGGAAATCAAAGAGATAAAACACTTTAATGGCGTAGCCATATGCGTGGTGTAGGATAAAAGCACCGACCTGATGAATGATTCTTCTTATTATGTATGACGGCGAATCATGGCCGTGTATGCTTATCAAAATGTCACATGACAATGTTATTTCCAGGGAGAAAAGGGCGCAGAGTGATTTTCTTCAGATAAAAAGAGAGCAGCGGGCCACATAAAAAAACGTGTTTGGGAACCTATGAATTAGACGTTCATCTACTGGCCCAAAGATCTTTGGTTCAAATCTGCAATGAGTCCGATTTTCCCCGCAAAGCTAACCTTGGCTCCCAGGTCAACCCAGCTTAAAATGGGTACCAATTAATGAACTGGGAAACCTGATGTTGACCACATCACTCATCCAATGCTGATCAGTGTACAAAAACATGAGCCCAATGTGCCACCAGCCACAAAAACATGAGCCCAATGTGCCACCAGCCATAAAAGGTCATTTGCTTTTTTACAAATGTTACCTATTAGTTTAAGATATACATGCTAACATCAACAAGTGCATTCAAATGTTATCATGTAACTAGTAAAGATATAATTACCTGTGACCATAGAATACAAATGGCTTGTCAGAATACTGATCATGTATGACGGATGCAATCCACTCAATAGTTTTCCGCCCATCACTGACACAAGGCTCCTGATATCTGTTCTCTCTACCAGGCAGGCAAATACCAAACACTGCAAGCAACATTGTTTATTTTACACATCGGACCAGAGACATCATTCAGGCCAATTATATTTACAAATAAAAATAATAATCGACATAAAGATAAAAGATCAAAGTTAAAAAAAAAAAAGTTTATCACTTTGAATATTTGGGGTGCATTTTTACATGTGATAGCAGAATAAGCAGCGAGACTGAAACAAGAAGCCTAATTGTGAAAAACCTGTCTATCTCAACAGAGACAAAAATATAAACTATTATTGCAATCAACACACAGACCTTGTGCTAATGTCAGACTTAGACACTGACTAAAGAACAGGAAAAAAACCTGACCACCTGTGAAATGAGATGTCTGAGAAAGGCTGTGAACAAAACTAGAAGAGATCATTGAGAAACAAAGAAATTACAAGAACTATTGGGACAACACCTGTCATTAAATTGACTGAAAAAGACTGAAAGGTTTGGTCAGTTAATGAGAGTGAATCGAATGATGCCAGCAACAAAAGCGTAACAACATGAAAGTTTAAATACCAACAGTTAGGGGGGCATCTAAGAAGATGACAGATTAAAGAAATCACTGGTACCTTGAGATTCCACAATATCACAGCATACCGGGAAACTGAGTGTGTCCTAAATTGGATAATGATTATCTGACAAAATAATGGTGTGCCATCTTCACAACGAAGGTTGGCTACAATGCATTCAATGCTTGCTATGGGAATGTTTCCGAATAAAGCCTTAAACTCTTCCACAGCGTGAAACTTGAACTAACATCAGAAAACAACTATACAGATACAAATCGTCTACCCAGAAACTGAATCCTACTACCTGAGGATCATAAAAGTGTTAACTTTATTCACTAACCTCTGAGCTACAGCCCCACAATTACTAGATGTACAAGACATAAGACAAATCATTTTAATATGTTTCACTGATTACAGAAATAATCAACTCATACAGGAAAATAAGACAATCTAACTGTAGAACTAAAAGATAAATCACACACAAAATGTGATTTTCTAACAGAAAATAATCAAATACATGACAACTTGACTCTCTAATTACATACAATAATTAAATACAGGACAGTGTGGCTTTCTAATTACAGAAAATAACAATCAAATACAGGACAGTGTGGCTTTCTAATTACAGAAAATAACAATCAAATACAGGACAGTGTGGCTTTCTAACTACAGAAAATAACAAATACAGGACAGCAAGGCATTTTAATTACAGAAAATAACAAACAAAGCCACAATAGCATGGCTCTATAATTACAGAAAATAACAATCAGATACCTGATAGCACACTTCTCTAATTACAGAAAATAACCACCAAATACAAAAAGCAATCGTTGTTAGTTACTCTGGCCGTCCAAGGTATTTGTAACATTCGTCTCAGAAACCACATATTTGTTGCTTCCTAATTCTTCTTAATTTGTTCAGTAACATTCCAAGATTCACTGCCATACAGCAGAACAGGTTCTATGTAACATTTTAGCACTCTATTTCTGACATTAAATGAGAGCGATTTATTGCATAAGATAGTTTTCATTTTCTTAAATGCAGCTTTCGCTTGACCTATTCTGCTTTTAATCTCTGTCACACATTTTCCGCCAGTTTATATTATCGTTCCCAGATATTTGAAATCATTGACTTGGTTAAGTCTTTTTCCTTCAATTGAGATATCACAACGTGGAGTTATCTTCTTCTCTGATATAACCATTACTTCCGCTTTCTTAAAATTCAATGAAAGCCTTTTCTTAGAACTCTCCATCCCCACAATATCCAGCAGTTGTAAATCAGTTGCATTTTCAGCTATCAAAACTGTATCGTCTGCATAACGCAAATTGTTTATATTGAATCCTCCAACTTTTATTCCTGCATTCTCTTTAACTTCTCAAAATTATCTGACTATATAGAGAGAAAATGTCTGGGGATAAGACACATCCTTGTCTTACTACTTGCTTTATATTCAAAAGTACCCAATCTGTTTCACACTTTAATTGCTGCTACTTGGTTCCAGTATATGTTTTTAATTATTCTGAAATCTTTCCCGTATACATTGATGTCTTTCAACATTTTTATCATCTTTTCATGTTTAACTTTGTCAAATGCTTTGGTATAATCTATAAAGTACAAATATAGGTCCTTTTGTATGTCCATTGATCTTTCTATCAGTGTTCGTAATATGTATATTGCATTACTTACCCCTTTACCTTTCATAAATCCATACTGCTCTTCATTCATTTCTATTCTTATTTTTCTTTTTGTTCTTCTCATTTTAATTCTAAGTAGTAATTTGGTGACATGATTTGTTAAGTTGATTGTACGAAATTCTTCACATTCAATTGCTCCTGGTCTTTTGGATAATGCAATAAATACAGATTTCATCATATCATTTGGAATGTCCCCAGTGTTATAAATGTCATTCAACAGTTTAGTTAATATTTCTAGCCGAAATTCCCCCAGTACTTCTAATTCTTCTACTGAAATTTCATCTGGCCCAGTAGACTTTCCTTTCTTAATATGTTTAATAGCATCACTAACTTCTTCCTTTAGTACAGATGGAAATTCTAAATTTCTTTCTTCTGGTAATTCTGCTCTCTTTCCATCATATAACACTAGAGTCAGGACATTCCCACATGTACTCTGTCTCCTTCCTCAGTAGCCAAGGTATGGACACACTGTTGGTTCTGTTGCACTGTCCACTTGATCCCAGAGAGCTTTCACCACATCTGATTTATGAGATAAGTAGCTCACCACCAAGAGGAGCAACAGCGGCTAATACATCAGCCTGCTCATCAACCCACACACCAGAATGAGCCAGACAAAAAAAAAATCCACGATTTGCTTCAGATCTATGTCCTAACAAAAGATACAAGCCACTCTCTAATTACAGAAATAACACATAAATCAGGAAAATGTTTATTTTATTATACAAATAACAGACAGATCACAGAAACCCTGATGGCTCTCTAATAACAGGGAATAACATAAAATATACAGGAAATAACTTACAGGACAACATGACTCACTAATTAAAGAAATAATAAATAAATCGCCCGGGAAAGAAGTTCTCTAATAACAGGAAATAACATTTAAATCACACAAAAAAATGTAGATCTCTAATGAAATATATTTTCTTTTATCATTAAATGTTAAAAAAAAAAAATTACTGATTGTTTTGTGTGAGGTAAAAAATTGTTTCCTAAAACTTCTGTTTTGATTAACGTTATATACAGGGAAGTGTCAATATGTCCTCAACCCAGTAACAAAGTCTGTTACATTCCCTCAACACAGTTACACTACCTTCGATATCCTCTGACACATCTTCGCCCCATGCTGTAAAAAAACTTGGTCCTCCCCCTGCCCAGGGAAAACAAAACATTCTTTTACTTGCATCTGGTCTTGGAAACCTGCAGTTCATGTTTGCTTTTTTGTTTCGTCTGCAGAAAATAACAATTTGGAATTCAAAGGACATAATAAATATAAAAAGTCTACTACACATTTTAAAAGGAGAAAATAAAATACACAAAGAATTACTCTTACATTCTCAAAAAAATGTGAGATGTATTAAAAGCATTGTCCACAGTTGACAAAGCACTCGATGATGATAACAATGACAATCACTGCAAAATTCACTTATGCTGTCATGTGTACTTTTGTTGTTGCTGTTGAAGCATATTTATGAGGCATAGTATGAACGTCACATGATCACACGAGGGGAAACTGTTCAACTATTCTGACACCCACCTGCTATGACTATTGTGACAAGATGGAAATAAGGTTACATAATCTCTACAGAACTGTCAGTCATATAATGGGTACCTGTCGTGTGCAGATCTTCCTTCAGATGTTTATGTCTACTCTAATTTTGGTAACCGTCTGGAAAGAAAAATGGTGAAGAAGAAAGATGACGGAATGGCCAATCCCCAACGTTATTACGATTAGTGATGCTTATCTTCACAGCACTCTAGACAGAATTGAGATCCAACACTCAAATAAGACAAGAGACCAAGCAAGATAATATATTCAATTTATAAGACAGCGCCACTACATTGCACATGCACTAACAATGGATAAGACAAGACTCCCCCCATCAAGCCCTCATTGGATACCGGTAGGGAAAAGAATATGGGGAAGACCACGAGGGAAGGCTCAGGCATGGGCTAATGAACACCACCAGACATTTAGAGCTATGACCTCTGCCCTATGCGCCGCCTTAGGTTCAAGAGAAAAGACTAACTAGCTAGCTCTGGTCAGATCCATTGGGGTTCCAATCTCCTCCTCAAAAGCTCCACAAGTGTAAAAAGACTGATGACACCTATTCTGTGTTGATTATTCAGACCAGGAATAGCAACTGCAGTGTCTGCAAGATAATGCGCATTCTCGCTGCCTCGAACATTTGCATGTCCTGGCACAGAGATGAAGGTTAGGCCAGCCATTCCTTTAGTGCTTAGTGTTGCAATCCATTCTCTTGTCTGTTGAACCTAGCCTGGGTTTTCTTAAGCATATTCATTATGCGAAGGACTAATACTTCATGGAAAGCCCGATGGTAAAATGTTTAAAACCCCACCAAGATAGATTTAAAAGTTAACAGGGGCCCCCAGATTTATCACGAGTACCAGGAAATATTGTGGGAAGTAAAGGCTGCTAGCAATATGTTTACCATGTTACCCATCAAATGTTGATGGCACTGCTTCTCTTGTATGCTTTCCCCTACTGCACTATCAGTGTATCCTTTAACAAGAAACTCTTTCTCTTTATATCAAGCTGTACCCTTCTTTTTATGTCACCACACTGTTACCATTCTGTAACTCAGTGTTGTGGTTTTCTGTATTTATCTTGTGCTCGTCGAGTGGCTTGAGTGATGGTTTTTTAAAATCTGTTTGCAGGTTTCTGCTATGCCACCTATCTGTATTTTCTTCGGCCGTCCTCTCATCTCCCACCCCGATATCCTGCTGTAGAAGGTCTCATATATAGTTTGGTCTGTCTGCATTCTTACTAGATGACCATACACAACTTCATTCTCAGTACGTCAGGCAGTCTTATTCCAACTTTTTATTTTATGCTGATGTTTGTGAATCTGTAGCCTTTTGTGTTCTTGGTGCTCTTTCAGACACAGCACAGTTTGTAGGTTATTATGTTCTGTTCCTGCTATCTACTCATTGTCCATGCATGGCACTGAATGCTTTTTGTGAGTTTATTTCTTCCAAGACATCTTAATTTGTCTTTTTATTGGTCAATGATATATTATTATTAATTAAAAAAATCTCTATACTTTTTACCTAATTTCTTACTGATCAGGTGGATGTCTATAATTCATTTCTTTATGCCAGGTCTGGGTGTACATTATGTTATCACAATCAATGTCACTGCACACTTAACATTCCCATATGTGTTCAGTCCTCGGATACAGCAGCCCCTCTACCAACTGTTCCCATGATGAGCTGGTTATAATTTATGTCCCCTATCTCAGCCTCAAAAAGAAATAGATGTGCTTTCGTAAGTCTTGTCCCTTCGTATCCTTCTGTCTTTTGTGCTTTCAGTCAATTCTAACACATAAATCCTCCATGCCATGATGCCAGACTGTTAAGTATCTTCCCTCTTCATATCAGTTCGTCTCTTACCCTCCAACTGTTCCAATGTACACCACTTTTTTTCCACAGAATGCAGATTGTCTTCATATGATGAGTGTGCACAGACATAACTTTTCTATAGAAACTGCTCACAATAGGTTGCACTTTCGTTTTGTAAGAGCGACAGCAGTGTCTCCAATTCTCTACTGGCTAGTACTAATCTACTTCCTTAATTTTCACAGCATGTTGTTTTCACTATAGATAGTTTAGCAGCCTAAGTTCTTTCACACATCAGTTTGTAGATTTGTAAGCATCTGTATTATAGTATTCTTACAAAATCATATCAACATGTGCCACTCTAAAGAAAGCGTTTGTGCTATATAACTTATAGGGAGGCAATAAACTAAGCAGTAACCTTTCTAGATGGCTCCATTCCATGGACCCCAGTCATCCAACATTTTAACAATAACATAATTAAAAATTATGTTTAATTTAAAATTAAATTTTATATGTAATAAAAAAAAAAAAAAAACTAACTGCTCAAATGTATAAAAATTGTATAAACTACTACAGCTGGTTCTTCTTACTTTGTCGAGTATACTTTATGACTTGATAAACTTCTGAACATTATTAAAATTTTCGGCGCTCCTTTGAATAGTTCCCTAAAATGGCGGCATGCCACATTCTGGCCATAAAATATCCAAAAATAACCGAACGACGGTGTTCGCCTATATCTAAAATACGGACTTTCTGCCAAGGAACAAATCGCGGCCAAACTAGGATTAATTGACAATCAATATCAACATTTGCACACGGTACTAGTAGCAGACGATAAATACCGACCGTTGACAACAATATCGAGCATTTCTGCAGACGATACTAGCAGACTATATTAGCGACCGTTGACCAATTTCAAGACATTACAGACGATGAAAGCCGATAAGCAATACTGTGTTCTTCCGATTGGAGGATTTAGCAGCGGTAGATGTCAGACTTGTTGGCATGCGCCAAACGCGTTTAAACTCATCGCCGAGCGTATATCCTGCGCCGCTACGAATGGGGGCTAAACTAGGTGCCTGGGACTCACGAGTACATTAATTGGAGGAAGTTGCAGGAGATGTGTTAGCTGCCGCTCGTGAGTCCCAGCCATCTAGTTTAGCCCCCATCCGCGCCAAGCGTAGCGGCGAGGGGGATACGCTCGGCGGTGAGGCACACTCGCAGAAGCAGGTCGGCAAGCAACGTATCGCCGAGACCCTGTCATAGCATTTGTTTCGTTATCCAGAGCCGGCACATATATTTTTAATAGAACTGACCCGCATTCGGATATTTTTTGATATTTTATAGCCATAAATTGGCCAATTTAGCTCTCTTTTGAACGGCGAACGCCATCATATTAAAGCTGCCATTTTGCGGAATGATTCAAAGGAGAGCTAAATTTTCATTTCATGTTATAATCATTAACATAATTATATCATTTTTAATTACATTATTAATTATTATTATTATTTAAAAACAACATACTCATACTCTTTACAAAAACGCCGGTAAGAACTTCAGATTATTAACATCGCAACTTAAAAAAAAAATCTGTCTAATTAACACTTGGGTTGAGTTCATAAATAAATTACAAGTGAATTTTAACTTAACTACAAAGTAACAATAGATAGTGAAACTGAAACTCACCGAGTTTGAATGTAAATGAACTAAATCAACAATCCACCACAGATTCTTCAGACATCAACAACGACACACATGTCGTCAACAAAATGTTAATACACAACAACTAGTAAAGTTGTGCAGCGCAGACAGGACCCTGAGTGAAGAATAACCCGGGCTGACTGCCGGTCGGTCGACGAGCGTGTGCCATTAATAAAAACGCCTGTCAGGTTCTGAATACGGACCTGACAGTTGACAGCTGTCGTCGTGTACAGTTGTAGCAGTGAGAAAACACTTTCTTCTCGTCTGTTTCTAGCATGTCGTTTAGCAAGCCAACAGTAAGGTTAAACAAACAATTTCTCTCAAACAAAAATTTTTTTTTATTGAAGAACCAATCAGCCAGAAGTAGTCAGATTCCAATAAAGCACTGTCACGCAAACTAAGTATTGAAAAAGGTATAGAAAGCCGGAAGGGAGGTGGGGGTGGGGTGGGGGTGGGGAGGTTGGTGTTCAAGACGACATGAATAATTAATTATTTATACAATTACATATGACAAAACTTAGCTCTTATTTTACGTGCTGCGTAATGATTAGTATCACCAACCTTCCCCTTTAAAACCTGTACAGCTGAGATTATATCTTGTCACTTTGTCCCCACCCTCAGTCATGACACCCGAGGCGACCTAAATCCCTCCCTAGGCCATTGGTACCAGGAACACTTGAGAAATACCTTAGAATTGTATCATCAAGACATCAGGAAGTGAATCAGCACCGCCACCCCAATCGGCTTTGCCTTCAACAGTGGTCTCCAGACTTTTTCTAGTGGCGTTCCCTTGAGTTTGTGACAACACCTTCCCACCCCGACTCCTACTTTTTGAGTATATGACAAAACCCCAATGCTCCCCTAAGTAATTAGTTAGTTAGTTAGTTAGCTGGGTTATCATCATTGCACTCCGGACATGTCCATAGGTGCTCAGATCCTCCCCTCAGTATGAACCCCAACGTCCGAGTACCAGTTCTATGTTGATTAACAAGTCTTCTGACGTGTCCGGTGTGCGTCTCGTTTTTTGCTGTGCCGATCTTAATTCCTAAGTCTGCCATTCTGGCGAGTGATGTGGATTCACTGCCACCAAAGTCCTCTATCCTTCCCATCTCTCTGAGGGCATTGATAATATCAGCATGATCCATAGGCC